CGGAAAAAATATTTTTCCGGATAATAGGTCAAGATAAACAAACATCAAAACTTCCTTATTCAATAAAAAATAACAAATAGACAATAATTAATTTTAATTTCAATCAACAACTAGTAAATCCACGTGGCTGCTCTATTTTCACAGCTTTTGTTACAGATTTTTACATGGTTTTCAAAATCTTGATATTATGATATGCCATTATACATAACTTAAATTCCAAATCATTCTTCATTTAGTAATTATTTCTCAATTAGCGATGATTCCACAGTGAATCTGCGGTTTTGCTGACTGTTTTTTTATTTTTTATATAGTTAGTAAAAAGAATTTTCACTTCGACTTATAAAATCTCAGTGTTTTAATATAATATTTTGTTCGACAAAATTAGAATCGCACATTTCACACTCAATTATTGACAATTCACCTGCAATCCCACATGGATTTACGAACACATTTTTAATCAGTTATTGCAACTGATTTTAATAGTTTTAAAATGCTACATTATCGTAAACAAGAAATTTCGAATTGCACATTTGAAAAATAATTTATTAATATAATAATAACTCGATTTGTGCCAATTTTATTGTCCAGGCAGTTTTTTTCGATCGTATTTTCAACAGTTTGGGATAGTTTTTGTTTCATACAGTTTTTTACTTTTCACATAATTTTAAAAATTTCTTGGGAAAAAAATAAATACGAGTTTTTTTCGCACCGTAATTAACTGCCGAATTTTGTGCCCATGATACCCAATTTTTTTCCATATTGCTACAGAAATCAGATTAAAATCGAACAAAAATCGGAAGACTGGAAAAATCAAAGTTTATTTTTAACAAGTCGTAAAAGTTAAAAAAAAAAAAAAAAAAAAAAAAAAAAAAAAAAAAAAAAAACAACATTCCTCCTTTTTCTAAAAAAGGAAAAGAGCTGTTTATTTTGATTGTTAAATTAAGTTCAGGAAAGGAAACTTTCTGGCAAACAGAGGGACTCTAACAATGTGGTATTGTACAGGCTAACATACCATGGGCATTACTTTTTCAGCTACTGACATTACTACAGCACTTTTTATAAACTTTATCAATAATGAAAAAATTTAAAAATGTACTCACACTGTAAAACACATTGTGCTTAGTTTATAGATAATCAAAAAAGAAGCTTTTGTAATCTTTATGTATAACTTTTACTCGCACAGAAAATTTGGTGCACATAAAAGTAATAGTTGAAATTTCTATTCAGCATAATTAAGATATAACATTTAAAAGAGAAACATTCCATAAAAATTTTGTTTAAAGCAGTCTTATATTTTTGTTTACCAGACATCCAGCAAAAAATCCAAAACTAGCTTAGTAAAAATATAAACCAAATACACACAAACATCAAAATCGATGATCCAGAGGAAAGAGTTTTAAAAAGTTGTGTGTAAAGGGAGTACATTAAATAGGAACAAAGATTGAGAAAATACAGCAAAAGTCTTAGGGGCAGGTAGGATGTCTGGGAAAATCTGAGGTTTAAGACTCTAAAGTAGAATTAAAAGTTAGCTTTTTATAGAATTTGAAAATTTTTGGTTATTTGTAACTATTATGGGATAGACAGTTGAATTGATTAAAAAAAACTTAAATACAAAATCAAACAATTTGGATTAAATTCTTACAAAATCAACCCTAGCTTGTAACAAATTTAAATAGTTATTTAGTAGTTTTTTTAAATCTACAAATTGACTCTTTCTCAGATTTACAACTTTTTGTCAGGCAAATGAGTGGAAGAAAGAGTTCATTGGAACAGATATAGGTCTATCCACGCTAATCTGATTTGCTACCACATTACTGATATATATATTAATGTTAAAACATAACTTTATTCTGCCTTAAATACAGTATTTATTGTTTCAATTTAAAATTGCTACATTCAAATAATGTTTCTATTTATGTATAACTCTGTGGATGCTATGTCAGATTAATTACCAATAATTGCATAATAATAAAAAATTGGCAAATCAATGCAATGGCAATTAAATGATCCTCTTCATTTATAAAGCAGAACAAACAAATACGAGAATATTTTTCGTGAACTTACTCTTCTCATTATGTTTTAATATTTTGATATCACCAATTCCTCGTTCCTTCCATTGTTTTGTGGGACCATCAAAACGGAATAGTTTGGCCCGATGAACAAATATAGGAGTTTCATCTTCTTCACCAGTTTTGACTTCTATTAGGTCAGGCAAAGGTATCACAGGTTCAAAATGTACATCAGGATTTTCTGGTACAGTATCATCTAAATAAAATATGGAGCAGTCAGAAAAATGTATTAAGTGAAAAGTGGAATTAAATTACTAAGTTGCAGGCCGTATTCATCATATGAACAAAATATGAAATTTAAAAAAAAAATTTTTTTTTACAGCTATTAAATTCTAAAGCTAACCAACGTTTTGAGTTTTCTTTTAAAAAGTGGCATTTGTTGACATAAGTAACGCTCTTTCCATTCTATTTCGAGTACGCCAAGCCCATTAAGTATCAATTATCTTAAATGATATATTTAATATTTTTTCACTATATATTTTTTACTTAACACAAAGATTACGAAGCCACGTATAGAGAAACTAAAACATTGAAGTTGCCAGGTACACAAAACAAAAATACACAGTTACAATAAAATACATAAACAAATAATAAATTTAAGTTAAGTAAAATATGTAGACGAGAAAGAATATTTCAAAAAATTTGATTACACATTAATTTATATTATAACTTATGCGAGGAAACGTAGCTCAACTTTAACACGCCAATTTGCTCATAAACTATCAGCTGGCGCTGACGTTACAGGTCACATGTGTGGGTATTCGTGATCTTCTTCTTGAAGTACAAGTACCCAAGTAAGACTTATTTTTTCTTTAAACAGTGTAACAGTCATCAAAAACAGAGGCTAACTTTAGCGATAATAAAGAGCAGGAATTTGTATTATCTGTTACTGGATAAGAAATTAAAGAAGTTTAAATTAGTTTTAATATCATTCCATAGAAAATTATGTTAACGGACAGAATTTAGCTTCTTTATTTTAAGTAGAAATGGTAAAAAGCTTCTTGATATTTAAGTGAATAGAATTTTTTCATACTAACAGGATCTTCAATTTAACACACGGTACCACAGTAAAAACATGAAGAAGAAAAATAATTTCAAACATATTCCATCTGATTAGAAATACAAATTAGCCACTTTATGATTCATTGTAAAACATCATTATTATCAGTCTGTTCTTAAACAATTTTCTTTCTTTCCCATGGAAAGAAAGCACCTTTACTTACTATAACTTAAAAAAATAATTATAAAACTACAAAATTGTCTTATATAGTAAGCAGGACACTCACAACACCAAAGCTTCAATTTCTTATCAAAACTTTACGTTTATTGAAATCATTTTTAAGATGAATTTAACATTTTTAACAAGTAAATATGTGGATCAAATAAATGTATTAATGAAGTTTTAAAAGGCAACAGAATACATAAGATAATAATTATAAATAATATTTTACCACAGAATAATTTCTGCTTGAATTACATAAAAATTAAAATTTAAAAATGGATTTAACTTATTTAATGTGCCTGCATATTTTCTTCTTTTATTGAAACAAGGTTTTATTTGTAGTGGTTATAACCATCTTTTTCATTGAAATCAAAAGAAGTTCCAAGTTAACACTTTTTTAATTAGATAACAGATTCCTTATTGCAGGAATATGGGTCTATATAATATATAATAAGTTAAATAAAATATTTTATTGTTTATTATTTTGGTATTAAATGAAACAAATTATAAAATTAGATTTGACATTTTTTTTAAATGTAATGATATATTTTTTAAAAAGTTATCAGATCTAGAAATTAAGATTTTTATTTTAAAACTGCTTTAAAATGTATATAAAAGTACTCACCTTATAAAAAATAACTTATTTGGAATTCTTTTGTCATACAAAAGAATTTAAATACAGTCAAACTTCCATATAAAAAACTTTAATATTTTGAATTACTCAATACCACGAGCAAATTATCTGAAATTCCTATACAGTTGCTATCTGATAATAAGAAAAAACCTTTTCTTAGTTCAATACATTTTTCAATGACACAAAAAATAAAAAAAAGCAACAATGTGACTTTATGTGGTGAAGAAGTATTGTATCCCAGCAAGGTTTTAAATCAAATTAATTAAATCTAGTAAGACTAACTTTGTGGTAAGTTAAAATCCAAACTGAAACTTTGACGTTAGTGCATGCACGTCTCCATTTGATAATCTACCCCAAATACTTCTATATTAGTTGGCTTTAAGTATGAGATCCGGATGTAAGATGTTTTGTATGTCTGCTTGTTAATTATTGTTTTGCCAATAAAATATGTTATTAACTAGTGCTGGTATTATCCTGGATCTCTTAAACAGTGACGAACTTTAAGGGGAAAAAATGAATATGGCTTTAGCATAAAACAATTTCGAATTTGGAAAATATAATTGACAAACAATTACCAAGGAAAAAATAATTGAATTTAATATGTATTAAATAATATCAAATCACCATTGTGACTGTAAATAAAGCATTCATAATAAATTAATGAGAAGTAAATGCATACTAGGTAAATTTTAAAATGCCAATGCTAGAATTAAAAAAATAAATAAATAATAATAATTCATAAATTTCCCTATTTCCACAATCTCTTTTTGAGATGGTGATATCAAAGTTTAACTGTTTATAACTCCAACTTGAATTTTTCTTAATGCTGTACTTTAGAAAAAAATCTCAATTGAAATAGAAACAAACCATTAGCAGCTTCTCCAGGAGTCTGCAAACTGGAAAAAATAGGTGTTCCGGCTCCAGCAAAACCATGTTTTCCACTAGTTGGAGAAGTGAAAAAACTAGATTGACTAGATTTTTCAGAAGCTAAATCTGTAAAGGAAATTGCACTGACGGAAGAAGAGCCGAAAAACGTAGTTTCTTCAGGCTTAGTATTTTGAGCTTCCTTTTTTTCTGTTTTTTCTTCCTGCTCTTCGATTTCTCCTAAATTTCATAAAAGAAAAGTATTTGTAGTTTATACTAGTTTAAGCTTACTTACAAATACAATGAGATAAAGAATCTGTACGTTTGACATATTGTTGCTAAACATGGCACTTTCAGGTAAGAAATTTAGCGCGGAAGCAGATATAAAATTCTTACTGGGGCGTCATTTTATAAATTTTTATTAGGAGTTAAAACATTTTCCATGCAATTAACACTGGACAAAATACACGTTAATAGAACATCATAACCATGTTTTGTCTTGATTATTCAGAACAAAATTTTTTTAAAAAAATGAAGGAATAAAAGAGCTAACTTCGAAATGCATGTGCATTAAATGATAAAATCGAAACTGTTTATGTGAGCACCGTTACATTTTAAAAAACTATTACAATACAGAGGCGGATCCAGCGGGGGTGGGGGGTCATGATCCCTTCCAGAATTGAAAAAAAAAATTATTTTTTAATAGTTTACAAAAGAACTAAATTATTTTAAAAATTATTTAAGGGGGCACGCATATCACCTAGGTAGGTCGGAAAAATTAATTTTTTTCTTCATCTAATTATATTCTTCACTGTTTCAAGAATCATAATCCAAAAGATTAAAGCAAAATTCATCACAGTTTCTAAAAAATAAATGAGAAGACTAGCATTAAAAATCCCAACTTTTTTTACTTCAAAAAATATATTAAAAAAAATAATAGTGTGTGTGTGGGATCTGAGTCTATGGATCTGAGTCCAAAATAAAAATTTCTGGACCCGCCCCTGTTCCAATACTTTGTTTGCAATGGTTTACTCTTTTATTAATGCCAAAAATGAGGTGTAAATGTAAATTATTTTTAACATATGGAGTTGAATTGTTTTATTTATGTTTCGGATTAACTCATTTATGCCTGCAAAAAGCTTTATTTTTGAGTTATGAACTTACCAAGTTCTAACTTTGCGTTAGAAATTGTTGTTTATTGAAATTGAGTGAACTGCAAGTTGTGTAAATCGGAAAGCTTCTTTAAACCTTCTTTCCCAAGAAAGGGGTGAAATTCTACTTAACATAATAAAAATATATTTCCCCCCTACAAAATAAAACTAGTATTCTATAAATTCTAACCATAGAGTTTTAAAATTTATAAAATAGAATGTCAAGAGGACAAATTAGACATGTACCTCTGCATGGCTTAATGGTATCAGTGCATCCCACACAGCCAGTACAAGGTTCTTTATTTTCATATAAATAAAATGTTTTAGGCAACATTAATTTTTCAGCTAGGGCTATTTTTTCTGGACTTGGAAGAGCTTCAAACACTATTTGAACATCTAAAATAAAAGTAAAGAGGTGTTGAGTTAAAATACAATAAATTTTAAATAAACATTAGCTTGAAAAATTAACAATATAATATTTTTCCTTTAAACTATTTTTGAATTAATATGAAATGTAGTTCATTAAACTTTTTACATTACTATATTACATAACTTTACCTTACAATTACTTTAACTTACAATTACTTTACCTAAATTTCATTAGTAATTTAAACTTTATTTTTTAAGAAAAATAATAAAACAAGTTATCAAATTTTTTTAAACACGAAAAAAACTTTTATTTCATTAATTTAAAAAATTCTAAAAACCATAACATACTTGCAACAAAATTTTAATCATATTTGAAGACATGCTAATACATAAGATAATTATTCTTCCTCCATCATTTCAATTTGTCTTTTAATTTTTTACCAAAGAATTTGACGTAAAAAATCAGATATACATGTTATAATAATTAACAGCTGAAATTTTGTTCAATTTGACTTGAAACACAATTTTTTTTTTAAATAATAGGAAAATATGGTTACAAATTTTTTTTCATTCTCTATTAGTATCTTATTCCTTCAAATAAATAATAGTGTTAAAAAAACTACATTAAATACAAAATTAGTAAGATTAAATTTTTGAAAGTAAGATTTTTATTGCAACTAAAATATCGATATTTTTTCATTAACATTATGTGTATTCACTGTAATTACTGATCCTAAATAAAATTAAAAATTGTGATATAAATTTTTCTAAGGTCTTGTAAAAGGAAAAACAAAAATTCCATTTATCATTACTCTTTTCACCTTCATACTTCAATCTTTCTTTCTTCATGTGCTTTAAAAGATAAACAAAACGCATAAAAAATTTATCCTTTTCTTTAAAAGAAAAACACAGAAGAAAAAAAACATCGCTAACTATACAATACTTTTATCTATGAAGAAATAGTCTTCTACATTTGTACAAAGTCATCATAGTTGTCCAAGGAGAAAAAAACTTGCAAATAGTCACTTTTTAGTAGCTAGTGACAACCTTACTACTGAACAATAATATTTTGCAGACAAAGCAATGCAGCAGTATAGTTACTATATATTCCCGAATATAAATACAGAATTTTTGGAAATTTTCTTTAAAGCTCATGTGGGATAATTGGCTAATATATGGATCAGTTGAAAAAAAAAATGCCTAAAAATAATAATTTTATAGAGAAGCACATATACACTACCCTACAATATTGGAAAAGACTCTTTCAGTTTTTGCTTTTTTTTTAAATTTCTCAAGAAATATTAAAAGGATTATTTTGTAACTTAAGAGGTGTTTAGTTCAGGTAATTCTTCATACTTAGCAATAAGATTTAAAGCTTTCAGAGGTTTGTAAGACCTACAATAAATTACAAAAGAAAACGAGTATTTTTGAATGCCCTACGGCAGAAAATCAAGCAAAAAGCTTGTAATTTGTATAGCTTACTNCCTGTTTGGATATTTTTCTCAAGAAATATTAAAAAGATTATTTTGTAACTTAAGAGGTGTTTAGTTCAGGACTCTCAAGGACCGTGGGAACCCTGTTTAAAGCTTTCAGAGGTTTGTAAGACCTACAATAAATTACAAACGAAAACAAGTATTTTTGAACGCCCTATGGCAGAAAATCAAGCAAAAAGCTTGTAATCTGTATAGCTTACTTAAGTAAGTTGTTATTTTGAATAACTACATAAAGGTTTGTAAGTCATCCTGTGGAATTGACACTTAGCACACAATTTTCAATTATCTTTAATTTGTTGCCCTTTAAAATGTCTTCTTGTATTTATCAAAACAAATTTAGAGTTTGGTTTTATTAACATCACCTGTGATAGTCAAACTTGTCTAAAATGAAGATTTTTTTAAATTTGGCTGATCTGGAATTAGTACTAATTTAAATTTTATTTTATTAACTCTTGTTGCCTACAACCATATTAAGGTTTATAGAGACTTTGCTTTATACTTTACAATATTTTTCGCTACAGAATTAAATTCTGTTTTATATATAAATTGAATTATTTTTATTTTTGCTAACCTAATATATAAAACTGAAGATAATTAACAATGAATATACAACTAACTAATAATAAAACAAATTCTTTTTAATTAGAGCTAACTTAACTAATTAAGTCAACAAATTACTTGACATAAAATATTTATTTAATCCCATGGTAAACTTTTTTTGGGAAAAGTATGCATAGAAACAAATTTAAAATAGCAATAGGAAAAGCCATAAAAAGTAAACGAACCATTATCTTCAGGCTGTGCAGTTTGAGCATTAAAACCTGAAACAAAGAAAAGAAAAACTCATATTTAAACATATATCAATATTTAAAATACAGCAAGAAATTTAAGCATGATATTATTAAATTAAAAAAAAATTTTTTTTTTTTAAAAGGGAATTAAAAATAAAATAAAAACTAGTTTACAAGTAACAAAACTTTTAGAAGTTTTGCTTTATCATTAAAATGACTAACATATTTTTCAATGATAAAATTTAAAAATAAATTATTAATTTCTGTATTACTCATGAATGATATAGCATAACACACATTTATTTATAATAATTTAACATAATTAATATAATAATTTAATATTGGCAAAAATAATAATTATTAGTATACTCATCAACAAAATTTAGGATACAAATATTTTTAAAGCAAAAATTTATATAACAATTTACATTCTAGCTGGAGTGGGGAAATACATAAAAAGAAATGTCAGTATATCCTCTAATAAAAGTAAAATATAGTGAGAACAGTGATTGTGATAGTCTTGCTTGCTTTTTCTTTAATGGAAATAGCAATATATATTGATTTGGTTCACAAAATATTATTAGATTAAGGTTTAGCAGAATTAAACATTGGTAAAAAGTATGAAAACTGTTGAAAAATTTTAATTAGGTAATAAATGAAATTAATTTTAAAAAAATATATAACTTAATACATAAAAAAAAACATAAAATTTATAAGATAAACTTAACAAAATTTCTAACAAGCTTACCAAATCCAAACTTCACACCTGTTCCAAAAACAGGTTTAGAATCAGTGCCACCAAAAGACGTCTGACCAAAAAAGCTATTATCAGGCTTTTCTTTAAATGAAAAAGAGAAAGGCGAATTATTTGAGGTTTCTTTAGCTTCTTCCTGTGCTAAAGCTCCAAAACGAGCTGAAAGAGATCCTGGAGTGAAATTGGAGTCTACTTTTTTTTGGAGTCGTTTCAACTTTGAATGAGAAACTCTTTAATGCATCAGATGAACTATTAGGCTTCTGGTCTTCAACTAAAGAAGGAGCATTGTCAATAGATTGTTTAAATTCCTGAGCTAGCTCTGCAGTTTTGAATCTAATGGCAAACAGTTCTGGTGTAGCTTCATTTTCAGAAAAGTCTGTTGCTGCCCATGTAAGAGATTTATCACCACGCCAATCAAATTTAATATCTTTTGTCAAGGAATGATTTAAGCAAACTTTCAAAACCTAAAAATAAACAATATTTAAATTATTTTTTTAATCTTTAATACTCAATAAATTACATTTTGTAATGATTGCATTATATTTTTAAGTTACTGAAAAAGTATAACTTTGAAATTTTAAGCAAATTTTCCCTAAAGTATATACCTCAATCTTCTAAATCAGGTAGATGAACTATTTTTAGATAGATGAATGCTGTTGACGTTTCCTACTTAGAATTCTGTTCCATTTTATGAATAAAAAAATTATACCAGAAATACCCACAAATATATGTATGTTTTAATACAATCATATTTATGGCAGGGGCTAGCTCAAGTTTTGTGGCACCTTTAATCCTAATATTAAAGTTTCAGGCCCCTTTCATTATCAATACTATTTTTAAAAAAATTATAAAATATATTTTCATAGTTACACTGATCCAAATAGTAATATGGTGGTTAATAACAAATAGTGGGAGGCAAAAACTGATTGTTATATGGAGGATAAAGACTAATTGTTAATTTCCAAATCAGTCAGCACTTTAAAAATTAACTACACAAACATATCCTGAATAATTAATCTGTGAAGGAATGGAGCGTGAAAATATTCTTTTCAGCTAACAATCAATCCTGTTTAATAATTTCCGTTTCCCAGTCATCGAATTAATCTCAAAATTAGGCGAGGGGAGCAAGGAATATATTCATGAAAATTAGATTGTATTATATATAACTCTAAACAGTTCAAGATATTATAATAATGGATTGCTGTTGAATTAGTTGCAAAAATGTTGAATGGAACAATGCTATAATTACACTTTTTGTGTAATTCGTAGTGAAAACTGATATAGTAAAGAAAAAAAAATTATTTTGGAAAAGTGAAATTTAAGCACTTTTTTAAAAACAACTACCGAAAAAAGTACTATAGAGGGCTTTTAAAAAACTAAAATCAAGACACGCCTTTAAGCACTTTCCTTAAGTTATCCACCCTGTTTTAGCAAAAAGAGTTATGAATAAATACATAATAAAAGGACTATAGCTTGTCATATAACTTTTTAAGAAGATTTCTGAATTATGATTTTTTTTAAGGAGAATAGATAAACAATTTTAGTTTTAATTCTTAGTGAAATTATTGCTAAATCAATTATTAATCACATTTTTTTCTTAATCATAAAATATGCACTTGTGTACTATTATCATTAAATGGGAGGTTTATGTTATTTTAAATAGAGACTCTTAGTAAGAAAAGATCCATACAATCAGAATTCCTATGTCCTCAGGACCCCTAATTTCTTAAATCTAGCAAAATCACTGTACAAATACATAAAGTCCTTTTTTGTGAAACAATATGAAGAATAAAACAGATACTTAACAATAAGTTATCACTTATGAATATTATAATCATATAATTTTTAAATTTTATAAAATATTACCTGCTCTCTGCGCATCAATAAACGTGTTTTTTTGGTCTTATCATCCAACAATATTTTTACATCACCAAGACCTCGTTCTTTCCATTCTCCATCACAAAATCGATAGAGCTTTGCTCTTTGAGTGAATAAGGCATTTTCACTTTCTTCTCCTGTTTTAACTTCAACCTTTGAAAAATATTCAGAAATAAAATAAACAAATTAGTTAGGTGTAATTGCTATTACTCAATTGCTATGTAATCAATTGCTATTTCAGTAATTCAATTATTCAAACTATTTAAAAACAGATACATTGAAGAAAGTGATAATTATTACACTATGGATGGGTGGTCTAATGTAAACAATAACAAGCGTCCTTAAAGCGGAAGAAATTTAGAAAATTTCCGGTGTATCCCTTCGCTTATGTTATGACTATGAGGCGATGTATGAACAAGCCTAATATTCTGTGCAGTTTTGTTATTGTAATTTGGGTTCAAATCTAAACATAATTGTATCATTCATAAGAGCTTTCAGAAATGTATTGATTCTCATAGGTCGTAAGGCCAAAAAAAATTTCGGAAAGTTAATGTCTCATTGTGAATAATTCTTAAGGTTTGCCATGTTTTGTATTTTATCCCTCATTTGGCTACATTTGAATAAAATGTCGCCAAAAATATCTTTTTAAGATAGCCTAATTAGAAAATATTCTAATGATTATAATATTAATATGATAATGCTGAAATTTAAAGGCTGAAAGAAAGAACTCGGTACATGTGAAATACTACAAAAGATATGATGCAATAATATGATGGCACGTTTCTTCAACCTGCGGCGTAAAAATAAATCGGAAGCAGTAACCCGCAAGTCTTGAAAGAGCAATTTTACCACTAGCGCCACCACCCTTAGCTTTACACGATCACCCATCCATAACCATGCATCGCAAGTTTTGCAGCAATAGGGCTACAGCTTATTTTTACTGACATTAGGAGGCCACTTCCATATTCCACTTTCTGTTCACCAGTACTACAGTCAGTTTTCCTTTTGCTCAAAAGATCACAAAACCATAGAATGAGTCGCGGTGGCTTAGGGAATAGAGCGCTCGCCTTTCAATGAGGTGACCAGAGTTTGAATCCCAGAGATGACTGAAACCAATTCTGCACGCAGTTTGCACCACCCACAGTGCTGTGTGTTGCACATGTAAAATATACTGTGGCAGACAGATCATGGGTTACCGTCAGGATAACCGTGGAAGATTTTTGTGGTTTTTCCCTCGCAAATGCGGATTCATTCCATTAAAAAGTCCTGAATGCAAATTTCTCTTAATACTTGATTCAGAAGTTCTCTTGTAAATAATCCATAGATTAACAATTTCCAATATGGTTTCACATATTTCTCAGCGTTAATTATTTGCAAATAAATTTTCTTGATTGGCAAGTAGCATTTATAGTACTTTTTGTATTAGTTTAGGAGACAATCGGTTTAATAATGAAAAATTAAAAAAAAAAATATATATATATAGTTTCACACAAAACTTTACGCATTTTAGATTTAGCACGAACGGACACATAAATTTTAGACTATTTGGAAACACAATTACATTTTGTAACACATCCTTGTAATTATTTTTTTCACTATCTTTAAGCTAATGAGCCTTCATCATTATTATACATGAGGGTATCAAATACAAAGCTGGAAGCCCAAAATATAAAAATTAAGGACCAAATTGCCTCTAAATTTAAGGAGGCTGATACTTGAATGGGTGCAATTTCTAGAATACCAACATGGCTTTGAAAGACATACAATTAGTAATAGTTTCATCAGTTCCTGCACTTAGAAAGAAATATATTTAACAGAACTCAGATTTAAAAAAAAAAAGTATGCAAAAAATTCTTGTTATATAATAAAAGTAGGAAAAAATAGTATAAATAAGGTAAATCGTCAAGTAGTGGCAAAATGCGAGGAATGATCCCTTGAGAAAATCAGTAGAGTAGGATATAGTGATGGAGGGAGAAAAGAGCTTTTATACATTTCTCCCACATGGAATGTTCTATACCAGTGTTTCCCAAAGTGTGGTACACGTACCCCCAGGGGTACGGGAGCAGTTTAGCGGGGGTACGCGTTCTTATGCGAAATATTTGCTACAAACGAAAATTTCAAAAACTTTTACTTAAAACAAAGCTAGCCAAGAAAACTTACGATTAATTATTTTTCTATTGGCTATTTTTGCAGAGTAAACAGTTAATAATTAGTGCTGTCAACAGCCAGTTGTGATTTTTAACTTTAGTGCAATTTCTTTATAGTAAAAAATACATTCATTTTTCATAAGTGGTACGCAGCGTTGCGAAAAATTTAGAAAGGGTACCCAAAAGTCATAAGTTTGGGAAACACTGTTCTATACCATCAAGTCAAGGGTAATTGTCTCTAACAATGGAAGCAAACCAATACCATACTTGACACGCTATAAAGACTTAGGCGTGCATTTTGCTATATACTTTGTTTCATGACACATAACAAAATTTCTGAATTGGAAAATTCTTCAATTCCTTTCCTGATAAATAATATTTATTCTAACTGTTAGCTTCAACAAAAATTTGGAAATTCTGAATTTTTTAATAATTAAGGACACTTTAAAAAAAAAAAAAAAAAGAAAGTAAGGACAACTTTGAGCTTTGCATTTACTACACTAAATAATAACAATAAAAAACAGTCATTGTAGCCACTGATATCATAACACATTATTGGATTGCTAAAAAAATATTAAATGGAATTTACTAAAGACCTTATTCAGTTTTTCAAACTAAATGAAATAATTTTCTTATTTACCTTTAAATCATTGAAGAAAAAAATGTAATAAATATATGCATAGTCAAAACACATCTGGTCTACAAGTCTCTGGGAAGACTAAAACTTGAATAGCACACTCAAACACACAATGAATAAACATAAGTTTACACTTGGTTTAATGACATTTTAAGGGCTAGGGGTCCACAGTGTTTTTTTTTATTCATTATCTATTAAATCTTGATTATTCAAAAATTAGCTCGAGTCAGCTAAACATGAATATTAATTTTTTATGATATTTTTTACGTTTTTATTTCATTGAGTTTCCAAGATTTTAAAGAGATCTGTTGCATTTATAAGCTTTTTTACTTACTTTAGGAGGTAGTGGAATCACAGGCGAGAAGTAAATGTTATCAGCATCAGAGGCTACAACTTCATCATCCTCATCAACATCAGATGGAGCAGCAGGCGAGCGCGGAGATTTGGGTGTCTTGGTAGGACTACGAGGCCTCACACCACTAAAGTTGAACTCATACTTTTGAGGACTGCCGAAACGAAATTCTACAGATTCTGGATCAGATGGTTCAGGTTTCTGGGATGCAAGAGAACCAAAAGAAAAGTTTGTTGTTGCAGATGATCCAAACACATATGTAGGAGCTGCAGAAACAGGTGGTAGGGAGATATTTGCAGATGGTTTTTGAGTTGCTCCTCCAAACACAGCCGGAGAAGAAGTTACCGGAAGAGTAGGCTTAAAGCCAGTAACCTGATCAGTTTTAGTAAGTGCAGATTGTCCAAAAGTAAATGTAGATGGCTGAATAGCAGGTTTACTACCAAATAAAAAACCATTTCCTGAAGCTGGTAAGCCAAATGAAAAAGCAGAACTTGGAGAACTAAATTGAAATTTTGATTGTGAATTAGGCATTTTTTCAGAAGAATCAACAGATCCAGGCTTAGGTGTCTCACAAGATTGACATAAATTTTTATCAGATGTATTCCTTATCATACATGTTTGACAAACCCATGATCCTGGAGGTGGTTTAAACAATTCTGATAAAGGTTTATTGTTTTTTTCTGATTCATCAGTTCCGATTTTTGTGCAAGATATGCCAGGCTTAGCAGATTCACATGACTTGCACATTAAGTCTGTTGATTGATTTCTTACGTAACATTGAGAGCATTCCCAAGAGCCAGCAGCAGGTTTAAAGAGTTCAGATAAAGATTTTTGGTTATCAGGCTTTTGGGTTTCAGCAACTGAAATAGCATTTTTATATGGAGTTTTACAATAGATACAAGATGACTGATTTGAGTTATTTTTGTGGCACTTAGAACACTGCCATGAATCTGGTGATGGCTCAAAAAGTTTATCAAAAGCATCTCTGTTTCCTATGCATAAATCTTTGGATTCATTTTGACATTTCTCAAACACATTGAAAAATTGCTTTGCAATGTCAACAGATTTGAATCTTGCAGCTAATTTTTCTTGGCTCAAATCACCCTCCGAATAATCTTGAGCAAACCAAACCCATGCTTTGTCATTTTTAGGCAGAGGTTCAAGTTTCATTTCTGGAAGAATGTAGTGATTAGCACAAATTTTTAAAACTTGATCTCTACGCATTAAAATTCTATACTTTTGACTGTCTTTTATACACAAAATTTTTAATTCACCAGTTCCTCGTTCTTTCCATTCCTTTGTTTGCAAGTCATACCTAAAAAGTTTTGCTCTTTCACAAAATTTTACTTCTTCTCCTTCTTCGCCAGTTTTAAGTTCAACAAGAGCAGGCAAAGGCACAACAGGTTTAAATTCAGCTGTTGGCACAAACTCTTCTGGTGCACCATCATTGCTTTTTGTAGAAGTGCTTAAATTTGAAACTATAGGAGAGAAAGACTGAGAGCTCCCTTTATCAGTAGGGTGTGTAAAAGATGAGGCTGAACTACTGACCGGAGCATCATTAGGATTAAACACAAATGTTGGAGCTACATTTTGCACCATTGATTGAAGCTTAGAAAGACTTGAAACAGAATCAGAAGGCTTTTGCGATTGTGCATTCACTGTTGGTGTCCAAGAGGCTTGCAATTTAAATGAGAAATCAGGCTGTTGATTTGTAAATGGTGTATTAGATACATTGGTATTTATATCAGTCATTTTGAATGAGAAGTTGGAAACTTGATCAATTTTTGTGATTGCTGGCTGAGTATTAGACAAAGGAAAACCAAAACCCTTAAAAGGTGCATTTGAAGCAGTTTTAGTTTCAACGTCAGACAATTTCTCACTAGAACTATCCGAAGGCTTTAAAACTGCAGGAGGGGGCGAAGTAAACGAGAAACCAGAGAAGGGACTGGATTTAGCATTACTCACTTTCGTAACTTGAGGTCCATCTTTAGATTTTGTCGAAACAACTAATATTTCTCTTTCTTTAGGATCTGGATCATTTACTTCATGAATAGTTGGAGAAGAGGAAAAAGTGAAACCACCAAATACACTTTTTGGAGGATTTTCAGTTTCTGCAGTCTTATTTACAGACGCTGAAGAGCCAAATGTAAATTGGGTAGAGCTGGAACTTTTTACGGACGTAACTGGTATTCCAGAAGAAGGAAGAGACACAACTGGTGAAGTGATTACATTAGTGAAAGTAGGTTTTTTGGTCTCGCAAGCTTCACAGTATTGCATGTCAGCAGAATTACTAATATAACAGGTTGGACATGACCATGATCCAGATTTGTGGGAAAATTTACTAGCAAATGGTTTAGATCCAGGAGAACTGCTAGTTGAAGGATTATTTGGACTAGTTATAATCTTTGCACTACTATTTTTTACCAATCTAATTGCTTTCTCAAAAGCTTCTTTATATGCTAAGGCGAGCTCTGATGTTTTAAATCGGATACAAAACTGTTCCGGTTTAAGTTCTTCATCAGCAAAATCTTGAGCAACCCATGTCCAAGCACGATCAGACGTTTTCAAAGGTTTAATTTCCATGTCAGGAAGAATATAATGGTTAGCACAAACTTTTAATACCTAAAAATAATTAATGAAACAAAATAAGCATAATTATATGAAATGAATATTGTATAAGCTGCATTATTAAAAAGTCAATGGTTAGTCTATTGAATATCTCAGTAAGAAAATAAAATTATGGTAAACATTCAACTATTTGGTCTAATGTGGTGATAGGATAGGTCATATTCGGCTTAGATAAGATAGAATTCTGCTTCCTACCACCTCTCATTTAATTAAAACAAACATGATTCACATTTAAGAGAAATACATGTTACACATTTTAAGATGTGCAACAGGTAATAACTAGTGTCAACTGCTAAATTCAAAAATTATTAATGTTAAAACACTTATTGTTCTTTAACAAACTACACTAATGTAAGCAAGTCAACTGGCTCCACTTTCTGCCAAAGTTTTAATAAATTGGTAGCGAATTAAATAATAAAAACTCGAATAAGTATAATTACGCCTTTAAAAGTGTTTTCACGAGATAACAGCAATAAAGTTGCATTTCATTTCAGACCTTGAATTTTTGATATATAGTGGTGGAAAAATTAGTTAAAATAAAAAATACTTAACTAAAAATAACTTAAATTTCGTTATCACTAATAGATTTTTTTTTACCAAGCGAAGCAAATTGGCATCTCTACTCATGTGAAAAGTTTAATTTTACATTTTTTACATTTTATATGAAATTTTCATAGGACACACAGATATTAGGAGGTTGAAAGCTGATCACTGCCCTTGTCTTTATTGTTTTTTCGTCCTCCACAAAATGAATTTTACAAATCACTGGTTTCAACATTAATCATTTTTATTGGGTGTCACGTCGATTCAGAGTAAGCGATTAATTGTGGGACAATTCATCAAGGGGATACTTTATCGTGGGCACAATTTGTCTTGGAAATATGAGCGATAGTTGCATCAAATCAGCCGAATTTATGCTCGTTGTTTATCTCTTGTTAAGTCACAGATGACTTTACAAAAATTCAATGCCAGGCATTCATCGGGAGTGTTAACATAACATGACTTGCCAGAAAAAGTTTTTCTCACGGGAGAAGCCAGTTTCTTCTAAACTTTAAAGAACTACTTATACAACAATTGCTGCAATATGCTTAGTAATTTGTAATTGGTCAATGGCACTGAATCCTGATGCTTAAAGGATGAGATTTGACCAAAATACACTCTCTCTCACTTCTGTTCTAAAGTTACCGTCATGCAAGTTAAAAATTATTATTATTTTTTTTTTTACAGAATCTCTTTTTCCCCCCACATTAATTTTAGTCCTTATATTGAATTTGGTGTCATTTCAACAGTTAGATTGGAACAGTTAGAACTGTATATCTGAAAATTTTTAAAGGAATATGTTCAATATAACTTTCAAAAACCCATCTTTTAACATATGCTTCATTATTCAATAGAAAAAGTATAATCATTTCAAAAAATATGTAGACTTGAAATTTACCTGATCTCTTCTCATTAAAAGTCGAACTCTTTGGCTTTCTTCATGATGCAAAAGTTTTATTATTCCTACACCTCGTTCTTTCCATTCTTGATCAACAAACCTGTACAATTTAGCTCGATCTTCAAACAGCACCTTTAAAAATGAAAAGTTACTGGTTACATAAATTAACATAGGTGAGGAAATTAATGCATGAATTGCAATAATATTAAATAAATTCAAAATTTTAATTCTAATAATTTTAAAAAAACAATGCATACCACTTCATTTTCTTCTCCCGTTTCTACAACTACCTCATCAGGCAGAGGAATTAAAGGTTTGAAATCACCCATAACTTCTCTTTCAATATCATGTCCATCAACCTCACTGCCAGCATTTTCACTATCACATCTGGAGCGTTCCGATTTCACCTGTTCGGGTGACTTTGCAACACTGCTAAATAAATTCGAAGTGATTGTGGTATTGGTAGCAGAAGATAGAATATAATTGCTTAATGGAGAGCTTCCAGAGGTTGTAGTGGAAAGCAGATTCCTTAAAGTTGGTTGGGATGTTACAGCAGAGCTAGAGATTGGTGATGTGGATTGTTGAATTAGATGAGAAGCAGTTCCAAATGGACCTGCAGGAGGAAGAGGAATTTGAAATTGGTGGGGTGCCACCCCGACTGGCTTAGTCCAAGGACTTGATGGAATAGTTGATCTAGAAGTTTGTACAAGTGATGAAGGTTGTGGAAGATTAATTGCAGCTGGTGGTAATGTAGCTGGGTGAGGAATGTTTGTTACATTGCTTAAAATAGGAGCAGGGGGTTTAACCATGGCAGATGAGACATGAAAATGAAATTGTGGGAGTTGCTGACCTTCACTGAAGGGTAAACTTTGACCAGGTGGTGGATAAAACTGAGATCTTTCAGGTATAGCAGCAGGTGGCAGCATTGCATGGGGAGGATATTGGTAATTGTAATGAGCTAAAGAAGGAGGTGGACCAGGAGGTAAAGACGGTGGTACTACATAGTTCAATGGAGCAGTTGCTTCTGGGACCATACGAGATTGTGGATTGTAATTGTAATCTTGCATTCTATATTCCTCATTGTTCTCCTCATAATACTCAAGAAGGGCATTAGTATCAAAATTTTCAAATTCATTATCACCTTGACCTTTCAAATAACTCGGATTTTTTGCTGCAGTCTTAGGATGAGTTCTAATATCAGATAATTTCAATTCTTCAAATTGTTTCTAAAATGGAAAATGTACAATAATTTAAAAGAGTTAATAATATTAAAATTGAATCACAGATGAAGACTAATTTAATATTTTTAAACGAGAGTATCATTATAATTAAGATTTAGTGAAATTTAATGTAAATTGTTGTCATGCAGCTATTTATAATTAAAGCAATAAAGAGTGTCACATTATCATTTTAATATTTGCCAAATATTAATAATGTTTTAAATTTTATAATTGCACACGAACACTAGAACTTAAGAATGATTTCAAATTATTTCTAATAACTGCATTGCTATTTCTGTAAAATATAAAAGACACACTCAAAAGCAAAATCTCCCTCCTCCTTCATAGATTTATTAAAAGAAATCTAGGAAAAAAAAAGCATTTCAAAACAATTAACATTTAAGGTACGTACATAAATATTTATATAAAAAAATTTGATTAAAATTTAAAATATTTTTTTATTTGCTAATTGCAATAATCCAAGACTAGAATTTTTTTTTAAATTAAAAAGAAATAATTGAGGGAATCCTTAATTGTACAAATCAATTGCACAAATGCTTTGATCACATAATTTTACTCAAATAAAAGATTTTTTTAATCTTCAGGGGTCTGTCTAGGTTTTCCTGACAGGTACCCATTTTGTGAAAATTTAGACGTAATTTGTAAAAAATTAAAAATTATATTAAGAAATCTACACAAAAATATGGATTTATCGTTTCTTAAGGGATACAAAAATGAAATTTTAAGAAAAAGTATTTTGTGAAACTACCGTTTTTCCTAAAATTGAATTTGTGAAACTACCGTTTTTCCTTAAGTTGAACTTGTGAAGGTACCGCTAAACGGTAGTAAATTCGGCCTGGACAGATCCCTGATCTTTATTAAAATGAGTAAACAGTACATGTAAATTATTTATTAACTTGCATATTAATAGAAAATCATGCTTCAATTTGCATGGCTACATAGCAATTTGCATTACCTTAGTTAAATTAGCAGCTCCTAAATTGGGAATTAAGATTAAAAAAATAAAAATAAAAACTTTTTTGCTGATTTTTTTATGTTTAGTGATTTTTTTCTACCATTTTTTACTTACTGAATATAGGCAAAACTATATCACAATCTTGGTATAAAGGCTAGCTTAGCTGCCAACATTCAAAGGAAAATATTTAGTAGTTCTTATGAAATATAAATATAATGATAACTATTGTGTAATACTTAAGATATTTTAAACACAGGAATTTTCAAAAATTTTCTGGTCAATGGTTACAAAAACTACACTCCACTAATAACTATAAATTGAAATTGACTGAAATATTTTCTATTTTATGATTGACATTAAATGAACTTGGTGGAAATATATTGTTCCTATTTTGTTATTTTACATTTATTTTTAAATTTATAAATTTCAATAACATATATTGAAATTATTTAGATATAGTTACAACATACTCTTCAATGAAAACTTTAGAATAAAAAAAAAGGTAAGCTTCAAACTAATTATATTAAGTACAGTTTACTTAATTATTTAGCAGTTAAACTTATTTAAATAATCAACCAAAGAACAAATTAAGATAGTAAAAAACAATCTTGATAGTGATTTTTTTCAATTTTAGGGAATTTTCTGAAATGCACAAAAACTAGGAGAATTTTTAATTAAACCTGCTCACCAGGAGAAACTGGCAAAATCAAGTAGAGTTGGCAGGTACGGGTTAGATAATGCCGAAATCAAAATACACTAATGCTTCATTAGTTTTAAATTATGCACAAGCAATATTAGTTCAAAAACAGAGTCTTATAAATATACATTTGAAGGCTTTCAATAAATTTAGTGCTTAATGGCTTTATAATATTTATTTGCTAATTAACAAACAGGATGTTAATCATCATAAAGAATTTGCTAATTCAAAATTTAAGATAGAAATAATTTGAAAGATTTTGTAAACATAGACAAATAAATTATACCATGAAATATCAAACACAGTGAATTATTTAATAACTAGAAAAATACCTTTAAATCAGATAGAACTTCATTATTCTTTTGCAAAGCTTCAAGTATTGACTTGTTTGTTTCAAGCAATGATTTACTTTGCTCCATAACTGATTTAATAACAGTATCTTGATTCAAAGCTAAAGCCCTAATTTGAGCATCTAATCTTTCAGGACTTGGTTTAGAGTGCTGAAAATGTAAAAAAAGGCATATTTGTATAGATCTTGAAGTACATTAGTAATGTTGTAAAATATTCAGCAGTTTTTTAATATCCTTTTAAAATTAATATTTTTGGAAATCACTAAATAAATTAAACAATTATGGTAGATTAGTATCCAATGATCAACACACAACTTGACGATAAATTGAATATATACACTTATTATTACTTAAGTTATTGAGTTCATGGATAATTTTAACTTTGCATGTCATCACTGTAAGTCTAAATAACAGAGAAAGACAAAAGAATCTTTGTCACTCCCTTGATTGTTATCAAATTAGCCCTATTTTAAAATTTAAGAAGAAATTAAACTGGACATATTAATAAGAAAACGTAGACTAAATATATAAGCAAAAAAAAAAGAAAGAAAGAAAGACAGGGGTTGTCAATATAGACCACCATGAATACCAATGCTATTCAATTGCAAATTTATTCCAGCATATATAGCAACTTTCCAGTAAATTTAAATTGGTCCAAATCTTTATTCTTACGAAAAGATTTTCAATACTTATCCAATTTACGCTAACTGGATGTAGCAGACAAAGAAATGGAAATATATACAAATCATCTTGAATTAAGCAATGATTTTAAATTACGCTTAGGAGATACTGAAAATACGAATATCTAGAATGGATTATCACACCATTAGACCATCAAAATTGAAGGTCAACAATTAAATCTAATTCAATAAAGTTTGTCATTTGATACACATAAAAGTGTACTCTCTTAATAGACACGTATGTATGTGCCAGACACAGACACAACCCTAAAGAGGATGCTTGGGGCATAATAACTTTCTGCAATGAGGATTTCTTATAAATTTTTTATACTTATAATAGTGTTAACTGCTTGAAAACACCAAAAATTTCATAAATACTGATGTTATTTTATATCCATGATGCTTGCAATGATGTCTTAATTAATGTCTTAATGTTTATTGTCTCAAATGCATATGACAAAGCCTTTTCAAGCAATTTTTATTTTTGAACATACCGCTCACCTCATAATTATTGCATTTGGGGGAGTCTACTTTATGATACCACTTTCCAAAAACAATTAGGCCGTCTTTCTATTTACAATACTATATTCATAAACAAATAAATAAAAAATAAAATAAATAAAAATAATAAGTTGTTAAAAAATGAATTACCGTTTGACAATCACTATTAGTATAAGCCAGTTTAGAGCTGCTGGACATAAATTTAGATGAAGGTTTAGGAGTGCTTTGCTTATTCATAATAAAACTATTTGGGGTGGCATAAAAAGAACTGCTTATAGTAGTACCAGCATCACATGCATCCAATTCATCAGGATCATCAGAAGTACCATTACCTAAGAGGACAAAATAAATAAAAACAGAAAGTATGACTCACAGAATATTACCCGAGCTATAGTATTACAATTCTCAGAAATAAATTACTAAAACTATGTTTTTACAATTTATTAAAGTAATAGAAAAAAATTTAACATTTAAACACTGTAGTTAAATACTTTAAAGTTATATAAATTTAAGGGTTTAAGAATCACGGTCAGACTTTAATTTTCTTCCACTAAGTCTGCCAATGAAGAACATTAAAAATTTATATTGCTCAACATTATTTTAATTTTGCAATTTGGAAGTCAATAGCAGACAACGTGACAAAAAGAGATAATTCAAAATCAGAATTCGAACATTGTAACAACATGAAAACACCGGAAAGAAAAACCATGTTAAAGGAGCCGCAAAATGATAAATAACTGCTGATAAATTATAAACTAACGATGTAAAATTATGATCGTATCGTCACAAATCGAACGCTTCAAAAAAAAGTGATGGTTTAAATTTGAAACTCTTATGGCGTAACAATAGAATGTATTAAATATATAGGAATCAATTTGAAAAACCATAAGTAAGCGGTTTTCTACTTAGCTATTGTAGTGCATAATTTTGTCACTTTTTTTATGTGTTGGGATTTAATGTTTCTTGTCAATTATTTTTAGTAGACCCACTGTTACTTTGCAATCGCTGCACAATCTGATGTTCTGCGTCTGATTTGTTTGATTTGATTGCGCATTGGCATTGTCATCATACAGATTGCACTTTGTGATAGATTCTACTTCATCAGCTAAGTCCCACAAAAAAATCTTAACTGCACCCAAAGAATTCAAAATTTCATACTTTTAAAAATATATTTTTAATAAAAAAATCATTTTTGTATCTGTTTTTTTTTAACGGTTAAATTATACACCCGATATACTAGGAATTTGCAATCAATTAATCAAAAATAGAGAATTGTTTTATACAACAGGTCGACACATACTGGGATATACATTAAATGAAAGGTCTTCATAAATAAACATATGATACAAAGATTTTCAGAATTTCAAACACTTTATTTCAAAAAGAAATAAGTTGTTTTAATGAGTCAAAAAATTATTGAAATAAAGAACAATAAAGCAAATAAGTTTTAGAAAGCTAACCAATAAAACAAATAAGTCAATTTTGCAAAGTTTGAAAAGTCAGTCAACTTTGTAACTAAAAGTTTGGAATTGTAACAGGCATGAAAAATTAGACTAACTTACGCGATAATAAAAACAGTACAACGAAATAATTTCATAAAAAGAGAACATTTTTGGAACTGCTTTGGATTTTTTTTGATTTTGGAATTACTGTTTGGTATTTTTTGATAAAGTGTAGTATACTATGGGGAAAATATAAGACATATTTTAAGTTAAGAAATGTGGACAACATAAAACTAAAATCGCCCCAAGAGTTTACTGCAGTTTAGTTAAATCTGATGTTATTGTACGGTAAATAATCTGACTAGATGGAATTGTTAGTGTCATGTTTTTATTAGAAATCGTGTAAAGATTTGTTGATCTTTAAATAAATGTCTTTTTTTATATTAACTGGATTTTCAACCCAAAACTTGGTAAAGAACCAGTTCAGATAAACATCAACTAATCAGTAACATCTAAGAATCAGTAACATTTTTTATACCTCAAGTTACAAACAGGCAAAGCTTCCTCTAATAGGTCCTCTCTTTAAGTAAGAAAATAAACATTTAAAATGTAATCTTAATTAAATAAAATATAGAAATTAAGATCTAAATTAATAGCAATTTCAATCTTTTGTAGTTATAAAATTTTTCCGAATAAGAACTTTTATATAAATGTAATAATATCAACATTTTTCAATGATATATAATAAATGTGAAATAAAAAAAAAATTCATACTTATAGAGTGTCCAGTACCAAGTTCATTTTCTATGTCTTCCAAAACAATATGGATTTCACTATTCAAAGGGTGGTTGTTATTATCTTTTATTCGATCCATTGTGTCATAAATAGCTCTTTGCGCTTTAGATAGGAACATGTTTCTGGCATTGGAAAACTTGTCTTCTTGGGAAGCAAACTTTTTCAAAGTCTGTAAAAAATAAAAAAAAAAATTTTAGTAATAGTTCAATCAAAAGATAACAATTTAAGTGAAAAAAGCAATACATATATTATATAAACGGAATAGAACTCAAATTTTACTTAAAAGGCTTATTTAAAATTTGAAGCAAAATTAGCAAAATTTGACCTGTAGCAAAATTTTTCATAGGTGTTAACATGAAATTTAAAAATAATAATAAATATGTCGTAAATATTATGGAACACTAAAAATTAAAAAAATAAAATTCCCACAAACAAACTTTTAGAGTTTTCTCATTTACAGATATAAATAATATAAAAGAATGTGTGAACGCCGTCCACGAAAAATTTGTCACAATCGAGGAAACATTTTTAGTCCTCATTATAAAAAAACATTTTAGGAACTCATTGTAAAAAAAGAAAAAAAAGTCTTAACTACATAATTCTCAAGGTTAAACAACTATTTTTATATTTAAAAAAAACCCTGCTAGATTTAAAGAAATATACAGTCAAACCCCGTTATAGTGAACTCCCGGATATAGTGAACAAAATGTTCGGTCCCGTGCCTTGCTATACCCGTATAATGTTATTTTTTGTGGATATAGTGAACCAAAAAAGTGATGAAGTTGGATATAATGAACTTCTTCCTGTCTTCGACTGATTTTTTTCTTCATTTTTTTGTAATAATTTTGAAATTTCTACTTCAAAATAAATACATATACCGATTTTTAAAACCATCGATAGTGGAGAAGGTAGCGATAAGCATTTTTTTCTTGTTTGCTTCTTTTATCTTACTTTCCCATCCCTAAACAAATCAAGTAGATGTTTCCAACCCAGGCGGTGTCAGTGGGATCAATATGCATTCTCTGTCAGAGGGAATGAGTAATTATTCATTATTGGTCAAAGAGTTGGACACTAATATGTGTTGACAAGGCCCTCATTTCAACTCCTTTTTGCTCTCAGTGCAGTTAAAAAAAGCCTGCAAACAAGTGTCTCAAATTTAACAATGGCGAGCAGTAAACATAAAATTTTCTCCATTGATTATAAAATGGGCATAATCAGAAAAATTGAAAATGGATGTAATCAAGCTGATATTTGCAGGGAATATAAACTATCCAAATCTACAGTTCGTAACATATGGAAAAATAGGCAATTAACAATTTCTGCTCATGAAAAAAATTTAAATGGCAGAAAAAGGTTGAGAAAAGCAGATCACAAGGATATTGAAGAAGCATTACTGAAGTGGTTCAGCATTCAAAGAAGCCGCAATCTTCCAGTATCTGGACAAATGTCGATGAATTTGCTAAGCGATTTTATGAGATTAATTTTATGAGCTCGAATGGCAGGCTAGTCAAGTTTAAAAAGTGGACTAACAGAAATTCAGAAAAAATTATCTGAGAGTCAGGAAATGTTTCCATATCTGATGGTGAGGACTGCTCAACAGCTAAAGATTACTAATTTTTTTTTTTTTTTGTACGCAGGACGAAGAGTAATAAAAAATAACAAATTTTTTGCTACTACATAATATTTTTCAGTCATTTATTTGAATAATGTGCAATAAAAAGGAGGAATTTGGGAACCATTAGTTAAATTGCCCGCATAACAGATATAGTGAACTCCCTGTTATAGTGAACCAAAATTTCGGTCCCTTGAAGGTTCACTATAGCGGGGTTTGACTGTACACTAATATACATAATAATCATTACAGTTTCATAAAAATTAAAACAAAACACTTTTGAAAAAATTAATGATCTTCAAACAAATTTTGTTTGTCTAAGAAGTCAGTAAATAACTTACAGGAACTTTTTCAGGATTTTTTGCAGGAAGTTTTTTAATAGAGATTTTGTAATTGTTTTCATTTTATTTCAGTCTGTCTATTAAACAGGAAAAATAAAAATAAAAAAAGTACATAACACTAATAACTATAAATTTAAAGACTACAAATACTTTTAAATTTGTGTGAGGGTAAATGAAAATAATTTTTTTTTTTACAGTGTTTAAAATAATACTCTTTTTGTACAATGATTCCATTAAAATTTTTACTAAGAATTTATTAAGAAAAAAAAAAAAGACTAAAGAAATTAAATTTACAAAATGTACATGAAGCAGATGCTACTCAATACTTTTACAGATTCATTTTCAAAAGACAAATGTACATTTTTTCCCCATGCAGCATATAATTATTTCTTTCATGTCATGTGATCCATAATATCAAGATTTCTTTGTTAGGGTAGACTGCGTAAAAAGTAATCATAAGACCGGGTGAAGATGCATTAAAATCTCAAAATATTTATTGCATGAAATGGTTTCATAAATACATTTTACTGCGCAGTATGGAATCATTTTATAAATGAAGATTACATTTCTAACTAATTAACGATAATTTATATGCAAAGTGATTCCTTTATTATGTAAAAGAGATTATTGAATGCTCTCATCTGCTGCGAACGGAAAATCTACAATTAAAATATAACTCTTTTAAGGTTTCGGTTTTGTCTAGTTTTAAGGTTCGTCAAGCCCTTTATTCTTGTTTGGTATTATTTCAGATGCAAAAGTTTATAATAGATACTTTTTAATTCTTTAAAAGTAGAAAGAATTTTCGTTAAGACAGAATTCTGTAACGCAAAAAAAAAAAAAATTATGATAAAGAAATGAATGAAAAATTAAAAGCTTAGAAGAACCGAGAGTTAAATATCAAAACTGAAATATACTCTTACCAGTGCTAGATAAAATGAACCATAGGGTGAGGACAATTTGGATAAAATTTCTGCAGCTTCATTGAGTTTATCAGCTTCCATGAACTGCACAGCCATATATAATTTGCCATCTTCTAATAAATTCCTCATTTCTACTTTCGATAAAATGTTATCATAGCCAATAAACATGGGTTCCTTAGGAGGCTTAACAATTCCACCAGACAATAGCTTTTCAAGCATGCCTATGGCGATACTCCAATAGTGAGTAGCTCTCAGTTGCAAGGCAGAAATATTATCTGGCAATATCTTCTTTTCTGTGTTAGAATTTTCATAGTCCTATAATTATTTAGAATTTTATATTATAATTAAGTATATACGTCATGAAAAAAAACAACTGAATTAAAAAGTTTAAGTTAAACAGTTTGCGTAAATCTCAATTAAAATAAAAAACTCACTTTTAACAAAATTTCAGCTCTACTAGCAAATGACTGAGCTAAATGTACAACAAGCTGAACTTCCAAGCCATGATTACCAACTCCTCTAATAACTTCTAATCCTTGTTGTAAGACTCGCCTTGATTCACCTAATTTCTCTCTATATAAACAAACACATCGTTAATTCTGTTGCATAAAATACTTACTCAGATGCATATTTTGATTTAAACTAAACTTAATATTATAATTTTTCTTCTATTAACATGTAAGCGCACGTTAGATATTATTTTACAATTATAAAAAAGGGAATTAGTTCTGTGTTCTAATAGCAGAAAAATTATACTTAAAGTGTTTTGTTTCAACTGCTCTACACTAATTTTTACATCTGCCAGGAGAATAAACAACGTAATTATTTAAAAAATAAAAATATTGGTCTATAACTTTACAAAAAGGATTGCTTGATCTTTTTGAGACTGCAACTAAAAAGTAATAATTCAGTCAGAAATAAGGGATTTGATAAATTAAGTAGGGTTTGCTTTTATCAACATTTTAATACTTTGCACGCTATTAAAAAGTTTTAAGGCCTCATAACATTTACAAATATACTAGTATAGTTTATTTCATGTTTTCAGTAAGGGAATAACAAAATCTACACAAATATTAATTATGAGAAATTAATGTACAATTTTAACAAAGAATAGAAGAAAAAAAGCAAAGGCTTTAGAAAGAAAATAATTAAATTTGAAGAATGTTTAAACTACATAGAAATATCAAATGACAATTCAAGAAATTATTTATTAATTCTAAGACATAAGTCTAAGTAGAGCAAAATTATTAAGTCAAAATTTTCATGTATGATAATAGGAAAGAAAAAGTGGAAATAAGAAATTTTGTTTTTAACAGGTTTAACATAAAACAATACTTTTTTTAAAAATGTTCTATAGGGTGAAAATTCTCAAATTTAATATCCTAAAAAATAAAAAATTTAAAATAATTTTTTTTAACTACCCATAGAATAGGTTAACACATGATTAAAAAATTAAAATACATTTTAGGAAATTTAAATTGAATGATTTGCACAAGCTCCTATATGTGTAGGAAAAAAATTATTAACTTATAGTAATAAGAAAAACATTTAATTTTATATATAATAAGGCCCAGGAAAAGATGACAATTAAATTTTTCTTAGATTTTTATCATTATTTTTTTGCATTTTGGATTATTTTTTAAGTTTTCGGGTTCTTTTCTATTTTTATTATGTTAAAAAGTTAATATATTTTCCTTTTATTGTTATTTTACCATATTATTTCAAACTTCAATGAATGTAAACCATGTATTAAATTGCTCTATATATTTTTACTTAAAGATTATTTTGAATAATTTTTTAAGAACATTTTTTACATTTATCAGGGCACTTATAAGAATTTTTTTACATTATCAAAAATAAATGGTAACATAATCACATACTTAATTGAACAAGTATGCAATCCATAAGCAATTCGCCACCATTCTCCTTGAAGCTCAGTGCATATTGGGTCAGCTATATCTGGAGGACAAAACACAGATAAATCTTGATTCCAGTTATTAATCGTGGCTTTTTTCTTCTCTATTCCTGCTTTAGCTTGATAAACTGTTGCATAAAGATAAGCTTCAAGATCAAGGATGCACAGACTCTCGCAACTTCCTTTTGAAAGATTTTTATTACTGTATTGAAGGCCTTTAAATATCTGTAAAATAATATATATATAATTAAATTAGTTAAGAAATTAACAAGTTTAAAAACTGAATCAGAGCTTGATATAACTTTTAAAGCATATTTTTTTAACTTATCAGAGGTGGCAGCTTTCCAAACTACCTCTGTTATAAAACAAGGGGTTGTTAAAATTTAAAGATTGGCCGAAACTAAAAATACAATTAAATTTTATGCGATGTGAGCAATAACCCTTAGAGATAAAAAAACATAGAAGAAAACACACTTGAAATCAAGATGTCTTTGTAAATGGAGTTTCACATACCTGTTGCAGGTGGGAGACGTCAAACAATTTGGCTTAGCTGCAATAATTTAAAAAAACACAAGGAAAAGTCCAGAGTTCATTTTTTTTGTTGTAGTTTATTACTGCAGATCACTTCTTATCAATAAAATCGTTGGGGCATCAGAATCACAAGTATGTCCAGTTAGGGGTCACAAGGCATATTTTTCAACATTGATCATCTTTTCATCTCCTAGTAGCATCAGTGGCGGCTGGCAGTTGTCGCAGTCGACACATAAACATTTCGCTTTTGGAAAGGCGATCCAAAAAATTACGATGGTGATAGATTGATTTTCGTTCTTGTCGAAAAAAACTGCATCCTTNTTGATAAACTGTTGCATAAAGATAAGCTTCAAGATCAAGGATGCACAGACTCTCGCAACTTCCTTTTGAAAGATTTTTATTACTGTATTGAAGGCCTTTAAATATCTGTAAAATAATATATATATAATTAAATTAGTTAAGAAATTAACAAGTTTAAAAACTGAATCAGAGCTTGAGAACTTTTAAAGCATATTTTTTTAACTTATCAGAGGTAGCAGCTTTCCAAACTACCTCTTAGCAATCAAAAGTACAATAACACAGATATATATATAATTAGCGTCTACAGAATTCAAAATAGCACAATTTTAAGGTTTATATACTAATTAGTTCTATATAGCTACATAATATTTGCATGAATTTACTATTAAATAAAAAATTTGACATAATACAACACTGAAATTTTGAACCTCATTATGAAATAATAAAATTAAATTGATTTCTTGGAAAAAATGTTCTTTTTGGTTCAATTAAAACAAGCCCATGCTTTTTATCATTTTGCATTTGAACCACTAAATTTTTTGTGCGCAGCACTTGAGTTTACAATCACTTACTTTTCTACAAGGAGAGAAGATTACGTTTCAAAATAGTTTGCTAGAAGGAGATATGAAACTTCTTTGCTTTTTCTTTATTCCATATTTCTATCAAATCGTTTGTTTTTTTATTATCGTTTCCAGAATTGTTTAAGGAATAAAAAAATATCATAGATTAGTTGCAAACAAAGAAATTTCATAACTCTTGGTAATTTAGAGGGGGAAAAATTATTAAACAGATTATTTTGGAAATTCTCAAAAACTTAAATTTCTATTACTCAACCGTAAGACAATAAAAACATAATGATCTTGGATAAATTGTAATAGTTGACACCTGTCTTGATAGCACATAATTTTTAAACTAAAAATAGTCATTATAAAAAAGAACAATTACCTCAGTCAGGGGACAATTTTGCATACACTTGGTTTCTCCTTGAAGTTGAAGCCATACTAAGTGATGTAAGGAGCTTGCACAAAGTTTATAAGCAGCTTTAAAAATATGTAAAAGTTAATAATCAAGCATTAATATAAGATGAAAATATTGACAATTTTATTTTCTTTAAAACGTGAATTGGCTCTTATATTCAGATTGAGATTTTGTGAACTTACAAAATTTCCATTAATTTACAATGTTATAATTGCATACAAATGCTAAAAATATATAATAATAATTTAAAACAAAGAAGGACTCAAAGAATAACCTCAAATTTATATGTAACATGACAATTATATTCCTTTTTGAAGATGGATAATCTCTTGCCCTTTTTTCAATAAATTTACATTTTTTTAAAAACATTTAACCTATGAGGATGCTTTTAAGACACAAGAGAGTCATAACACAAAAATACACATATCTAAAAATTTAAAACAGTGCAACTAATCAAGCAGCATGTTGACATGTTTGTCTACAAATTCCCACTATAAGTGAGAAAGCATATTAATGTTAAGGTGAAAAGACATGAGCAATGAAAAATCTCAACTTAAGCTCACAATTTAAAATCAGTAAAAGTGAATTGCCGCATTGTAAAATATTGTACATATTTCTAAGCTAAATTTTGCTAAAATTTTGTAAGAAATTGTTACACATACATTTATCATGCTCATTGTAAATACAAGGGTGTTTTGAATATTATAGTACTAACTTACAAAAAAGATATTGAAGAGTATATAATGCAAATATTTTTTTCTACACACCTTTATCATAATCATTTAAAGAACTCTGACTAGGAAATTCTAAACTGCTGCTTTCAAAAGAGGAATTGTCAATAAAATAAGATGCTGATAAATTCTTTTTAGTCTTTACAGAACTAAAGATACGACTGTATATCCTTTCTTTCACCTAAAAAAATATATATATGCTTTAGATTTAAAAGAGATACTTAAGATAATTCCATAATAAAAACCAATCGTGGTGCAAACATGACAGTGGGAATTCATACAAACTATAGTTCTAAATATACAGATGGTTAGCTCAGTTTAAAACAAAACTAAGTTTTAGGTAAGCTTCAAGAATATCTTTTCACCAATGTGTTGGTGAGAAATGTGAATAAGCCAATTATTTTCAAAAATTTTATTTATGATATTTAAAATTTTTAACCAAATATATATAGTTTTTTTTTCTATAGTTTATACCAACAATTATTTACTGCTTTAATATAGATGAAACAGATTAATGAGAATTCTCCAGTTTCAAAATCCACTTCAAATTTTGTTTGTAACATTTATATAAAAATTAAAAACATGCATAAAGATTCTATTAAAATCGTAAATAAAGTTGATATTCGTCAGTCATATCTAAATTTCATAGAAAAATTTATGAGTTCCCTAGGCATTTCTTATTTAGTTATTATAAATTTTAAAAAAATTATTCTAGTCAAGAATATTTTTTGCTGGTCATGGATTTCGCAAAATATTCTTGCTTATCGATAAAAAAAAAAAATCTTCTAAATTTCTGATGATTTTAGACAAGTTTTTATAGATATACATATATATATATGTATTCTTAACAGCTAAGAAAATAGTTTGCTATTTTTTAAAAACAAGTTGTTAAAATCTCTCATTCCTACAAAAGTAGACAAGGTGTGTGCATAATAGGGTAGTCTGCTCATTTTATTGTCATTATAAAATTTCATTGCATCCAACTTGCAAATTTAATCAATATAAAAGAAACATACACAAGGCATTCATGTTACTTTGGAGAGATAAGTTTGCAATAATCATTTAATCCCTGACAGAAATGATTTATAAAAAATTTATGTTAAATAAAAAAAAAATTCAAACAAACACATTATTTTAAGCAACTGATTTTTTCTTCTTCCTTAAATGTCATATTAAAAAAAGCAGCACAGTAATTTTTGAGTAAAATCTAAAAAACATAACTTAGATACCACACAATTTTTAGTGTCACCCTTAGAGTACAGGTTTGAATATATTTCCTAACCTCTGCTTCATTTAACAAAAGTGCAATTTCCTCCAAAAACAATTTGAATTTCATAAAACTTTAGAGGTATCACTAATGCCTACAAACATAAAGGAAACTATAATACATAAAAAAAAAAGCTGCAGCTGAATAGTTATTGCTGAATACCTGGGAAATGCAAACATCAGACTTAATCTTTTGTAACCATTTGCTCTTATCTTCTTTGCACATACTTTGGATGACATGTCCTAAAAACAAACATTTTATCAAAAAAAAATTTTTTTTAAACACAGATACTTAATGTAGTAAATTGTACTAAATGCAAAGTTAGATATATTTTTAATTTGACATTGAATGTATACTCAACTTTCTGAAAGATAAGTAAGCAAAATATTTATCATAAGTATGAAGCATATATCAGCTATGCGAAGTTGTTTATCTAAGCTCTGAATGAATATTTAAGGAAAAACATTTAAAAAATAAATTTAGAAAAGCTTTAAAGATAATTAGCAGTTAAATGAAATAACTAATGTCTGAACATATATTCCCACTTGATGAACACACATTGTATCACATCACACTTCTGCTACATATACATTTATTATAAATTAATTTATCAGAAATGTTAAGTACTAGAAGCTGGAAATTTTAAGGCACATATTTATCTGCATAATATGACAATTCTTGAATATATTTTTCATTGTATGGTATTGTAGAAATTACCATCTATCTTACAATTTGTACAGCTCTCTATACATGTGTATGCAACACTTATACAAAAAGAAAAAAAAAATCAAATTCTTTTCTTACATTAGCAAAAGACAGCTGAAACAAAATTAGCTATAAGCTGGAAGAAATAAGCTTTTGAAAGTTTATATCTATTAAAATGAATGAATTGAAAAACAGGTGCAGTTGCAATACTTCACCTAGAGTCATTATTCCATTTCCTTGGCTGTCACTATAATCAAAGAGGAAATAGCAGAAATGACAGGTGATTTTTTAAAAAAATAAGAAAAAGTAGGAAATAACAGGAAAAAAAGGAGGGGTACTGAAATAATAGGACAAATAGGAGTTCTTCTGCCCCTGTAGGGAGTACTTTAAAAGATTTCTAAGAATTAAAGAAGACAAATAAAATTATTTGTTTTAACTCTTCTGCCCTAAGCAATCAACAGACATAATGACTCTTACTCCCCTTGCTTAAGGGCAAGATGATAAGAAAACAGGTGTTCAAGGAGTCATATCCTTTCTCACTGAACTATGATTAAAAAGAAACTAGGTAGGGGATGAGGAAGGGAATGATTGATGATATTCAGTGAAAGACTGACAGAGTAGGGAACTAATGATTATTTCTAAAATCATGGTAAAGTAAACATCTTTCAAAAAAAAGAGAAAAAAATCCTGAAATCTTACAAGGAAAAAGAAATTTTTTTTTTTTTAATGGCAGGAAAATTTATTTGAATTTCATTCCTGTTATCTGGTTTTCCGGATAAAAGTTACAATGAGTATTAAAGCTAAATATTTTTGTTGAAGTAAATTATTATATGGTCCCTTCACTCATAATATTAACAAATCTGAGATTATTGATTTTTTTATTTTCAATTGTTTCAAAGTGTAATGATTAAGAGATGAATTTAAGTCTTTTGGAATGATAAATCTGAATAATTTAAAATTTTTTTTGCTCATTTAAAATAGTGAAAGTATCTCTCTTCATATTTTTTTAAAATCTTGCCTATAAATATATTATGTAGTTGTTTCATAAAACAACTTAAAAGTACTGAAAATTTTGAAATTAATAATACAATGATAAAAAAAAATAAGTAAAAAAAAGTAATAAAGTACAATGAAAGTTTTACAAAAATTTTATGCAATTGGTGGACATTCCCTCAAATATAAAATCTTAGAAATTAAAATATTAATCAATTCTTTATCTTGATTAAATGGGTAGAAGAGAGATAAAAATTTTAAGATGAAACTTTGTGATTCTTTACTACTACTTAAAACGTTATTAGCGAATGATCCCCAAGTCAAGTATACTGATTTATAAGTAGAAAAGAGCAAGAAAGCCGTTAGCCCTGCCATAAGCCATTACCAGTAAGAAGATGGTGCTTCACCAGAAATAAAAAATTATCCTTTGCTTTTAAGGGAAAAAATTGGCAATATTTAGTTGGTCCCTGTGATCAGCAAAATTTCAAGAATTTTTTTAATACGATTTCAGAGGGTGGAAAATGAAGCCTGAAATTGAGAACCACTTGCTTGAAATGGAGAATCTCATACAAATCTCTTGCTCATGAGAATGCAAAAATCCGTCCCACTAAATCCAGTTTAGTATACGCATAGGCCAACATACTAGTATTTCATCAAACATGTAAAATGATTGGCAGTTTTATATACGCTACACACCGATAGTTGGCCGAAACAGATTGTAGTTGAACAAATTGTGAAAACATTGAATAGAATACTTTGAAAACCACGCTTTTTGTATAATTCGTGGCAAAAATTGATATGGTAAAGAAAAAATATCTCAATTTACAGACAAAATATCTCAATTCTTTTTAAAAACACCCAATGAAAAAAGCACCTTTAAGGGCTTTTAAAAACGAAAATAAACCTTTTAAGAATTTTTTAAAAACGTTATGAGCTCGGATACATAGGTCTTCCAACTCATACATAAATTCATATATAGGTCTTCCAAGGAATTCTTTAATCCTGGCTATTGGGTCACCATACTCTCAAATTTAAAATTGAGTTAAAATAGTTTATTCGAAAAATTATCTAATTACATGAATTTCAAATTTATTCAAAATCTATAGGATTGAATGTTTACATTTAATTAAAACTGATAGAACTAATTTATAATATGCCATTATAACAGTTTTAGTAATCCAGAATAATTAGTTCTCTATCATATTGTCTACGAAGCAATCTTGATTTAATGCATTACCTTTTATTAATTTACTAACATAAAAATAAAAAATTTTATGTAAAAAAAAAATAGTTGCAAAAATCATGGATTTGTTGTTGTTAATTTACGTCGCACTAGAGCTGCACAATGGGCTATTGGCGACGGTCTGGGAAACATCCCGGAGGGATCATGGAAAAAGTTACAAATAATGCTAATTGATAAAAGTAAAAGCAGCTTTGATTTAACGAATTTAATTTTTCTTAACTTACTAAATTAAAAATTTTACATAAAAAAATAGCTACAAAATTTATGGGGAAAAAAAACTAAAAATAATGTGAATTGATCAAAGTAAAAATTATTAAAAAGTAAATAAATGCAGATAATTACCAATGAAACTTGTCCTGATAGATCCTTGCTGGAAAAAGTTTGTGAATACCTTTTGGTTTTCTGTCAGTTGTGAAAACCACAATTCTTCTAATGGATTGGTGGATCTAATCCCATAGCATATCAGAGCTAATCCATGACTAAAACGTAAAGCTTCTTTTCGATTCCCTTGATCCTAAGAAAAGGAATGATTTGAAATAGACATGAATCAATATAAGTATAATTTAAGTGATTAGAATAAAAACTACATATTTCAAATGACTTTGAATTTTGAAATAGATGTATGACAGTATATTCCCATGTTGAGTAGAATTAGGAAAGATCAAACTATCATATTCCACCTTTTAGAACTTGTCCAAAGTGGAAAAAAAATATTCTTATTCTTTTAATATTATTACATATTTTATCTCACAATTCAGATTGTTTCTTTTATTCTGAGTGCACAATAATTTCCCCTACCTGGCCAACACACTATTCTATTTAAAAAATTAGCAAAATTCTTGCCACATTTTACAATCACAGTAGAGCGCAGATTATCCGAACCCTTATTATCCGAACGTCCAATTCTCCGAACTATGCCCGATTTCGTTTTCTTTAAAGTTCAGAAAGCTTTTTAACTTATTGACAATTTTATCCACTACATTTGATGACCATATTTAATTTACAACCTTTTTTATCAGTTTTCTTATAGTAGCCATACATACATGTATTGTTATACAGTTAAACCTACATACCCCCTTAGCCCTCTTCAACTGAAAATTATCTTCCAAGAATGCGAACTTCATTTTGACAGTCTAGAACGTCAAAATGATGTTGATCCAGTTTAGTTGATTTATTTAAAAAGAATAAGAGATATGGCTGCTCTAAAAAGAGCATCTTCTTTGAAATAAAAATCTTTGCTGGATTTCTTTTGCAATGGAAAATAAAGAAAAATGTGGTAAAATCAGTAACTGACAAAAAAAATTATAAAATGCTGAAATATGATAAAAAAATTCAAAATGAAAAATAAAAAGTTGAAAAAAATAAATTAATAAAAAATATTTTAAAAAAAATACTTTTAAACACGCCAGAGATATTTTAGATAGTACTGCCAGTCCTAAGCCTGGAAAAAGTGAGAAGGGAAGTTAGTGCATAAATAATAATAATTTAAACTAGATTTTAAACAACTTTCCAATTATCCGAACTTATCATTATCCAAACCACGTTCGGTCTCGAGCAGTTCGGATAATCGGCGCTCTACTGTATATAATTTATATTCAGATAAACAAAATACATTTTTACAAAGAAAAATAAAGTATGATAGTTTTTAAAATCTTAACTCGAAGTAAAAATGATTATAAGATAATACAAAACACTAATTAACCAATTGGTTCATTTTCCCAACAAAACTAGACACTAAAGGAGGACTAGAAAATTTATGCTTTACTAATTGTTGAAGCGAAAATTGGTGAAATCTGCTTGAAATCGAATTGTAGTCAATTGAAAATTACTTATTTTTTCAAATAGAATGCAAAAAATTTTTTTTTTCAATATTTGATTTATTATCTAGTTTATAAGTTATATACATATTAAAAAAAAAAAAATAGGTACTATTGTAATCACTATTTCCACCAATAATATTGCCATATGCTAAAACACAATTTTTAAAAAATTTAGAAATAGTGAACCACTGTTTTTAGTGAACTTGGTGGGGGGGGGGGTTTGACTGTACTTGAAAAGTTACTCTAACACCACTGTGTTTGTGCTAATAAAATTAAGCAAAAATTGAGTTATTGTTTCTAATCCAAATAGGAAATATCTCGCCAAATTGACTATTTTTTAACTATTTGTTCTTCATAAAAATCTAGAAGAATATTTTCAACAGTATATAGTCAAACTGAATCTTTACTGCACTGGAATAATTTTTTATTATTATTATAACTTTTTGTTTGCTACAGAGAATTTTTCTCACCAAGACATAGTCAAACTTAAGCTTCATTGTAAGTTTAAGGCATTCACATTACAAAATTTTTATTTTCTTTGGTGAAAGATATTTGAAGAATACCTTAATGCTAATAAATATAACATTATAAAATAAAGATTTACTGAAGCTATAAGACAATACTCTCTTTTTTCCAAAAAATTAAAAAACCCATGAATAATAATAATATTTAAGACTGTAAATAGACAATTAGATCTATAATTTCATGTATCTAAGCATCTTCACTATCAACAAAATTATTTACAATTTAAAATTTATAGAGTAACTATTTTATAAAACATTTAGTCTCTAATTGAGTGCATTTGATTCAGTAGTTTTTGAGCAAATAAGGGTCCCCAAACTAATGAGATTTAATGATTATTAAACACAATTAAAATGTTCTTTAAAACAATGTAAAGATATGATTTTGGCCAATTAGTTTAATAACTTTTAATTTATTTAAAAAATAAAAATTTCCTTTTAAGATAAAAATTTTAGCATGAAATTATGCTTTATTATGGATTCAACATATTTAATGATAGCATAAAAGATTTTAGTGAGAGTTATACAAACCATTTTAGCTTTTTTCAACAATATGGTTGTCATGTAGAAGAACAATTGACCTTTCATATGATGCATAAAGTAAGTCCATGATCCTTCATTGATCTTTTGCTCGACAGCTTTCTTGAGACAGTTATCAAATCTACAAAATTTATTAATAATATATCAATCAGTGATAGAAAAACTGGAATTATGTAAATCTATACTAAAAAAAGCATGTGAAAAATCAAAAATATACAAAGTTGTTAGAAGGATTTCAGAAAAATATTTGAAACAATTTTTATAAAAAGAGCTCTTCCAAGAATAAACTAACAAAACTTACCTTAAATAATATTAACTTATATAGTTAGAACACTTTTAAACTCTTTTGTGAATAAAAAATGTGCTGCATTATTCAAATAGTGTGTGCATGTATATGTATGAATATATATATATTAATTTCACAAGGGGTGGGAAAACGATCACATGCATAAATATTACGAGGAAAAAATTACTTATTTTAAACGCAATAAAACATAATATATAGTCTGTCTATAAAAAGAACTCAGGTGGGCGAAAGAGAGGGAATCAGAAGGAAAAAAGCTTTTCTTTTTTAAATGTGCTATTTCTTGTTTCCATAGCAGCAGACTGCCTTATATATATTCGTTTTTATTCAATAGAGGACAGCATTGATATGCTTTTTAAAAGAGGTCAGAGCTGGGATGATTTAATTTCATTTCAATGTTTTAAAGATCTGGCAATTTATATTTTTTTGGTTATTTTAACTAACTTTCAATTTGTAGATCTTACATGTTAAGGTGTATTTCTCTGAGAACTTTTGCTTTGTGTGTTTCTTTGATATGTGTTTCTCTGGGTTTTGCTTCTCATTATAATCTTTGAATTTTTGAAGTATTGCGTTTTTTTTCCTTTTCCTTCTTATTTTGTCTTCCATTATGGGGCCTCGGGGCACATTCAGTTTTTAGTTGAAGCACTAACTACAGAAAGGTTCTAGAATATTAGCGGGCCTGTGTGTCCCCTGAAGAAGTACTGTTTCTGTTGACATGCTTATTTTTGATATTTCATTTTATTTTTATTTAAGTTCTCCCATATTAATTTAAATTGTAAACCTTGTGGATTGGGAAATTCTTCGTCCTTACGTTGCTTAACTGGTTTAAGGGAATAAAAATGTGCAATAATTCCTGTTTCGTCATTTACTTAATAACCACTTCACACCACTATTCCTTAATTGCAACTTGATTGCATAATTACTTAATAGTAACTTTACAATTTAATTGTTTCAGTTAGTTGTGTAACATTGCAACTCATAATTAAAAAACTTCATACACTGGAAATGGTTAAAATATGTAAGAAAAGTAAAATTCAGTACTTTTGGACACATCATCAGACAATCTTACATATAATGAAAAACTATTTCTTACGTGAATAAAAACTCAGCGGCATCATTCAAACTGCCTTTTCTAGAGTTTTCTCGAGAACGAACTTCTGATAAGTTAAGAGATATTAATCTATCTAATGCAGTTAAATAATTGATGAAAAATTGTGAATCCAAGTCCTGCTGGCATTCTTCTTGATAAGCCTGAAATAAAATTTACTTTCAGTTAACAAAAATTATTTTTCTAATCTTTCTAAAAACAAAATTTATCTTTCTAATTTCAACTCTGGCAGCATTTCAGACAATTTAATCTTAAGAAATAAAAAAAGACCTAAAATAAAAAAAAATTTCTCGAAATTATTAACACAAGATTCCAGGCACAGTTTTTAACTTTATGACTATAAATAAAAGTGTCAATTGTTTAGTTACCAAACAAATAAGTTTGCTCATAACCAAAAATAAAAGGTTATCACCAAATAGCAAAAAGCACTCTAAACAGGGTGTAGAGCCAAATTTTTCAACAAAAAATAAGCACTTTTCAAGCACTGCAATTAATTCTTCCATAGAATGAATACAAAGGAGATGTAAATTTTGACAGCAAAAATTCAGGTGAATTTTTATTTTGATTTCAGAGGGCAGAAAATGAAGCCGGTCTAAAATTGAGAATCTTTTGCAAAATGCAACAGAGTTGCACATGAGATGGCAAAAATCCTTCCTACTGAATCCAATTCAGTATACGCACAAGTGGACCCGCAAGTATTTCATCGAACATGTAAAATGGATAGCGTTTTCAAACGCTTTGGATTGACGATGTGACTAAACAGATTGGGGTTAAATAATTGTGAAAATGTTGAGTAGAACAGTGTTTTTTTTTTGCATAATTCCTGACGAAAATCCACAGGGTAAAGAAAATATATCAAATTTGAAAAAGGGAAAATGAAGCACTTTTTAAAAACATCCAATGAAAAAAGCACTTTTAAGAGCTTTACAAAAACGAAAATAAGTACTTTTAAGCACTTTTTAAAAATACTATGCACCCTGTTAAATGAAGGGGAAAAAATAATAATAACAGAAAAAGGAAAATTTGGTTTTTCTCAGTCTTTAAAAGGTTTCTATATTAAAGTCCAAATTCTCAAGAAAACAACAAAAATTAATGTCAGTTAAATGTTTTACAATTCCTAAAAACATTCCAATTTAGATGTTAGAACATAATAAAACACTTACTTCATATATTTCTGACAGCATATAGTACCAATCACAACTGGATGGAAACAACATTTTACTCTCAATTAAGGTTGCATGTTCATATGCTTCTTTTACACGTTCAGTATCCAAATAAAGCCTCAATAACTTAATTCTTAAATCAATATTTTTTGGTTGTGCTTGCTAAAATAAAATAAAGAAAACATGCTTTAGAAAAGTATCTATATTATATAAAACGCTAATACGTATGTATCAATAAAACCGATGATATTTCTTTTCTCGCATTGGCAACAGTTTTCATTTTTAATTGATAGGATTCGGCACGCAAGAGCACGTAGTGAGCATCATATGGCTAATCTATATTAGATAAAACGCTAATAAGTTTTAATTGATAGGTTTCAGCGTGCAAGAGCACATAGTGAGTATCATATGTCTAATCGGGTGAATTCTCAAAAAATTATCTTCATCGAAGGCGATGCTTTACATCCGGCGTTCAGTACTATTTCATATTGTTTTACAACACATGGTTTTAGCCCTCTGGTGGGAAAGACTTTAAAACAAAACTTACAACAGTTACTTTTCTCAACAACTGAAATTTAGAATAGTGTGATTAAGAAAAATATGCAAACTGTTTTCAATTTTAAATTAATATTGAAATGCACAGGTTTAGAATTTTCTACAGTGAAAAGTTTTCGGAACTTCAGTGTTCATAAAAGTATACAAAAGCTAGACGTTAAGAACGTATCCAATGAGCGAGCAAAGCGAACATCAGATTGCGAAGCAATCAGAAATGAACTGCATACGAGAAGTAAAAAGTGAATTTTATTCACACAGTATAATGTCGTATAGTAGAACTAGACCCAAAAATACATCATAATAAATAAAGGCAGGAATGTTTTTTTCCTTATGTTAACATGTTTCCTTTAAAGGCAGGAAACATGTTTTTTTCCTTATTTCAGTTTAAAGAAAAAATTTCAAGACTAGGACAATTTTTAAGCTTCTATTTATTTCAGCACCATTCTTTTAAAACATTAAGTTGTGGTATTCCTTAAAAAATTTCTAACCAAAAGATTCAATTTTTTAATAACTAGGAACAGTAAAAGCAATAAAACAATTAAAACAGAATCTAATGATTGAGCATCAAAAACAAATTTAAAGAGAGAAGAATTTTTTTTTAAAAATTAATTTATCAAAAATAATTTCACCATATTTATGTTTACAGAAACCTGTATAAGTCCAGATAAATTTACTCTTCGATTAACTTTAATTTTCAATTACGATAAGATAAAACAATTTCAAGAATTTTACACTATTTTATAATTATTTATAAATACAGTATACTCTTGATATCTCGAAAACCTTGTTATGTCAAAAAGATATTTTCCCCCTTAGCATTATATATCCACTTAATGTTAATTTGCATTCCTATGTTGAAAAGTTTCTTCTCAAAACCTTGTTATGTCGAACGTTGAACATTGTTGTAATTAGACTTATAGTCAACTATCATAACATACATATTTATTAGTAGTTATTCTTATGTTTCAAGTCTCTACTTTTTAGAGTAATAATTTTAGAATATATTTTTCTACTTTTTAGAACATATTTAGTTCTGAACTTCCTATCTCGAAATTTTTTAGCGACCCTTGAACTTGGAGATATTGAGAGTATACTGTATTATAAGACCTTTTTAAGAAATATTGACAATTGATCATATATTTCAGTCTAATTTCTGAGAACAAACAGAATAAAAACTTTGGGAAAATGCAATGAATAAAAATGTTACAGATTGCAAATAATGCTACGTACTTCATATACAACTTTTGAGTTATTAATTTACAATACTTTAAATGCTTCATTTAATATTGTAACTAATACCTCAGAAAAATCCCTTATTAATATCTCACTAAACCCAGAATCTAAAACATTGATATATTAAAAGTATTTCTTATTCGGGTCTTTTAAAAAAATACATGCAGGTAGTTAAAACTAGTTTTAACCAAAAGTGAAACAAAACCAGATAACCCTTTCTTGTTTCTTAATGAGTAAACTTTTTTTCCCCATCTAACAAAAATTAAAAAAAAAAAGAACATTTATTTAGATAACATAAAAACTTTTATGAAATATATTATTCATTTTATATTAATACATTATTTATTGTGTTACTAATTATAAAGCTAGAAAGATTTACAATTAGTAAGATAAAACACCACTAATTATAAAACAAAACCTACAAGTTCAGTAGCGATTAAATTTTCAAGCTCTTGATGGTCTGGATCTCCTTCTGCTGATACTAAGCATTCCTAAAATGATTTGAAAAAAAAAAAAATTTACTTTTTTTGATTGACAAACAGCTGTTTTGATTTTCCTTAGAAAAAATCAGAGGAATTTTAAATACTTTCAAAGAAAGGAAAAAAGTAATAAATAATCTAACTTTATTTATATCTTACTTTAAAAAACCAGTTAATGTAAATGTTTCATAAAACAGATTATAAAATATCTTAATTATTGATCCAATGAAAATAAACTTTACTAAATTAAAATAAATCAATTAACTTTAAATCAAAGTAAATAAGTATGTTTGTGATACATTTACAGAGCTTAGTGAGTCTTAAATTGTTCTTAAAGCCAACCAGATATTAATATTAATAAAAAATCAGCTAAATTTATCAGACTATTGTATCAAGGAAAATGTTAATCTATTTGAAAATAGAAAATTTTAGTAAGTATAATTATATAATATAGTATGATGGATTATGATGCTTAGTAAGACTAACCAGTTAAAATATGTAAACATATTTTTATCTCAATCAAATTAATATTTGTAAAAACTTAAAATTACCCGAAGCTTGAAAACTATTTCATTGTGAGGATATATTTGTTCAGCTCTGTCAGCCCAATACTGAAAAAGAAAATCATTATAATAAATAACTTGTTTTAGTGGATTTAAGTAAAAACGAAAAATAATAATAATAATAAGTCTTACTTTAGCAGTTTCATGATCAACAGGAAGCAGACAATACAGTTCACAAACTGTAAAACAAAGCATTATGATACAGTTCTTATAAATGCAATGTTTAATTTTTAAATAAAAATTACTTCAGCTAAAAAATTTATAAATTAAGTAGGCTTAAAAAAATTATAATAAGGAATCTACAAAAAAAAATTTTATTAATACTTTTTTCAATAATTTTTTTATTAATTTTAATAATAATAATAATTATTTTTTTTAATAGTTTGAGATTGTTAAATTCACAAAATTAAATACACTAATATGTAATGCTAGTAACTAAAGCAAATGCTTTCTATCATTTTAAAGCTATTGAAATAAAGTGTATTTTAAATTTTTTTTCTAAGCTGAGATAAATAGCTTGCCAAACTGAGACATTTTAATTAAAGGTTGTGATATATATAGCACGGACAGTAATAAAAATTTTAAATTTAGACTATTGACTATTCAAGTAGGCAAAATTATGATTGAAAGTAGGAAAATAAATTTTCATTTACAATTTAACGGCTGAATAAACAAGTAAACTGAGAAACAAATTAACAAAAACTAATTATTATTAAGTTATAAAAATGTTGAAGAAAAATTTACATAAATACAGGAAATGAATGAATTCAGGAAATAATAATGAAAAACACAAAAATAATGGAACTTACTTTTGAGAACTATATCACTCTGATGGGAATCTATTTCCAATGAGCTATAAATAATAAATTTTAATTATTAGTAAAACGTAATAAACAAAGTTTTGAACATTAAGTACAATATCTAATAATAAAACAGAGAAACATTAAAAAAAAAATTATCGGGTTACTACAAAATCTTTTGTCCTTAACTGAAAATATTATTTTTAACCAACTTTACAAATAGAATAACCTAAAGAAAATAGTAAGGTAAATTTATGTGTATATCAGAAGACAAATGTAAAAAAGCATAACAAATGAAAATTCGTTAACTAAAAATTAAACAGAGAAATTCATTGTAAAAACAATTTTGATGAAGTAATTTGTTAATAGGGCACATAATTTAGGCCAAATAATTGTATACTTAAATAAAAAAAGATAAATAAAAAATTCCATCTTTTCTTATTAATTTATTTTTTTCTCATCCATCAAGAGAAATGACCTATAAGCAATCATTTATTTTTCCCCCACCATATTAATGAATTAATTTAATATTGCAGAAACTAAAAATGAACTGGGACCACAATTAAACAATGTTTAAATGAGAAACATGCGAATCGTACTTAACTTACTTTCCATTACTTAACAATTTAATTTGTGAGATATGTTCTGATACAGCATAAACTAAGAACATATACAAATGGAAGCATGAGTTTCAAGCCATGTCGTACATACATTTCAAAGCATATTTATAAAGAAAAAAAAAAAGAAAGAAAAAAACTAATCTTACCGCTTATAAGATTGTAGGGCATTTTCTGGACTATTAGTAGCTTCATATATTTGAGCCATCAATTTATGAGCAGGAGCATGATGGTCTCTTACACTAAGAAAACCAGACAAATACCTGAAATAAAAAATGATAAAACAAAATTATAAAAATATTCTATAACATTAAAGTCAGCTGAATTGAATCAATTCAGAATGTTCATTTGCATCATAAATTCTGCTTTTCCAGTACATTCGTTATATTTCCTAATTAAATATTACTTAGGACCAGGGACTAAATAGCCTTAATTTCTACCCTTAACTATCGATATATAAGGCTCATATTAAGAGAGTAGTATATTTATAGTTCTCTGAAGGGAACTGAAAAGCGATTTTTCTGATGAAGGGAGGCTCCAACTTCCTGAACTGCAAATTATATTTTAACAAAGAAAAATACAGTGTATGCATTTGTCTGTATTTACAATAATATTAAATACTATAAATAAACCAAAATTCACAAATAAAAAATCATGCACAACTTAACACAAGCTTCTTAAATGTGCAATTACAATTGCTTTCAGTCTCTATTTTAGGCCTAAAAAATTATTAAAGCATTGTATATTTGAATATATATATGAAATCAATGTCATGGAATTGTCTTTAGGGAGATTCTACGGCCTTGTCCCAGATTTGCTGCATGAAATGGATTAATATAAATTGTCATAAAATTTTCTGTAAATATACGCCAATGCCTGAGATATATTACAGCTAAATATAAATACATAAAAATTATTTTATTTATATTCATCAAGAGACCTGTGAAAAATTATTATTTTTAATTGTTGTCTCAACATAGAATCATTCTAATAAGTTAAATTAAATTATAGATACATTCTTTATGCACAGCATGAAATCTGGCAATATGAATGGCATTAAAAGTTAACACTGTAAATTTAGTATTAGCTTTCAATACCATTTCATTCATAGGTTGATGTGTTATTTTTAATAGCACTATCTTCTTTAACTATGTGATTGCTATTAAACTATATGACAGGGGTGGCGAACCTTTATGCACTAACGTGCCATTTTTTCTAAAATTTCTTTTAATTTGGTCATAGACGTGCCGTCAAACAATTTTGACTTCATGATTATTGGGAAAATAATAACACTAAATACTATCAACTCGAAACTCTTTATTTACTATGAAAAAGAATACATTTCGCAATGTCTCAGTTATACGCGTAATTCAACTTAAAGTAACATCAGTGTGACTTCTCTTGTTGCAGATTAGATGACAAATAACTTAATAGGTTGTAAGATGTTATTTTAAGCAGGCCTGTTAATTTTTTTTCTAGTTATTTATTGTTAGCTTGTTTTTTATGGTAATTAATTGTTTTTTGGCATTAATTGTAATTTTTTTTTGTTAATAATTTTTTATTTTTTTTATGTTTGTTTTAGTGCATTTTAATTTAATTGGTAAATTGCTTCACAGTGAACTTCGTGATCGGTGGCGTGCCCAAAATATTATGTGGCGTGCCATAAATGGCACGCGTGCCCTTGGTTCGCCATCCCTGCTATATGATCTTATGTATTAAAATTTTTTTAATGTAAAATAAAAACAGCATATTAAGATTCATTTAAAGCAATAAAAAATTGATGATGCAATACGATGTAAAAGTATTCTAGACAAACTTTTCTTAAGTTACTTGAGAATAATACTTACTTTCTAGCAGCTTCATAATCTTTTACTTGAAAGAAAAGTCTTGCAAAAGTATATCCTCTTAAATTTTTCTAGAAATATATATTTAAAAAGTATTAAAGTTTTATATAAGAAAGTAACAGTTTTATTAAAGTCATTTGAAGATAAAATTTAATTAAGCATAACATTTAGAATAACTGAAAATAATTGCACTTGAAGTTAAAAGCTATCAGGATAATATCCTGATTATTTATCCATAAATGAAAAAAAAATGTTTCGGAACCTATTAGAGTACTTGGTTAAAAAAAATTTCACAACACAATTTTTTTTTTTTCTAAGACAAGCAAAATGACTGTTCCCACTTAACAAACTGATTTATCATAAATCCCCTGTTATGTTAGGTACATAATGTATTTAGGAGAATCTTACATAAATCTCTGTGTATTTATAAAAATATAAAAGGTTTAATAATAATTAAGGGAGTTTTAGAATGCAAAATTGAATTTTTATATCTTAAAAATAAGTTATTATTCCATTGTTTAAAGTAAGTAATCTTTTGTTTCTTAATTTTTGTAATCTTAAATTTTTTTTAATAGTTTAACTAAAATAAGTTAAAATAGTTCATAGTTGGCCCGGACAGGTAGCAATATAGAAACACTACCTACCTCTCATATCTTCTAGAAGTTTTAGTATATATTGCAGTTACCATAGCTATAAATGGTGAATAAATTTTTAAAAAATAACCAAGGACCTACAACAGTGTTTTCCCTGGAGCCCAAGCTCTAAATTTTTCAAGGCTTTAGTAATTTCATTATATCCTACTGGCACTTAAGAGGTATGTGACATTGTAATGCCTATTAGTCAAGTTGCTGTAGAAATATTATTCTCGGCATTAAAATACATTTACAAGGATTTAAAATCAAAGGATGATGGAAGATTTACTAGGATCGATTCTTTTCTTAAGATTGAGATATCTCAACTGCGAATTAAATTTCAATTTTTGTGTAGCTGATGATTATGTCAATATCTTTGAATGTAATGTTTTAAGGTTTGAAATTACCAAAAATATCAAATTAAACTAAAACTCAGGGGAGACTTCCGTATCGTGATCTGTGACAGAATAATCGCCAAGTCTGGCCTGTGAGAAACTTAAAAAGAAAGGGACCAGCTCGGAAGGTATAACTAGTAGCCACCTATGGGCAAATATCTATAAGTTTCTTTTTATTAAATTTGCAAGTTCAATTTGGCACTTTGGCGATTGTAGTTGGTGCGAGAGATCATGATACGGAAATATTCCCCTTTAAATCTTATTTTATAAAATCTCTTTCGACTTTCTTATTGTTTAACTTAATTGATTCTATTATAATGGATAATAAGGATCGTTGTCATTTGTCAGTTTCAAAATACAATGAATACTCTATTGATATCACCGCAACAACTTATAACTATTATCAGAAATGTATATAACAATTAACTTCTGACACTTAGAAATTGAATGGTAAGCAAAAAGAATAGATAAAGACACACAAAATCTTTACTTTCACAGTCACGCTTATCTATAGCTTTAGGTTTCAGATTCGGAAACAGGACTTAAACAGAAATGATTAGTGTCGAATAGTTATCAAAGAATGAGCATTAATGAAGATCTTTTAATTGCTAGGTAATTAATAAAATTATTACCTCGTTTTCACTGTTTATTTTGCTCAAGACATCTAATACATGCCGCTCAACATCTTTTTTTGTACGAAACATACTTTACCACAATGAACAGGACTCTTATTTAATAAATATAAGGTACTTGGGAATTGTTATGAAATAAATAAAACTGCAAATTATACATTACACTCGTATACATTAATAAATTTAATTACAAGAACGAAAATTTTCGTTAAAAGCTTTCAAAATCCCCAACGATGAAATCCCTAGAAAAGAAAGATTGTAAATATTGAACATAGAGAGAAAATTCGATACGATTAGGCGGGCAACGGACGCATTTAATTCTTAAATTGATGTATGAATAAGGAAAAATGGAAATAATTATGTTTCAAAAAATTATTTATTCAATTTACATGAAAGTTATGAAAAATTTTAAAGTAATGCAAATTATTATTATATATTATTTTTTTCTGTTTTTGTTCTTTTGTGGAAGTAAGAAATGAAGTGAAGCGATCTTACTATTGCCATGGCAACCATTTAATTCTGTTTTATTTACTTGATATATTTTTATCCCTTCTCTGTAATTTTTATCTTGTTAACGACTATATTACTAATACAATTATTTTGAGAAAATTAAATAATTAAAATGAATGAAGATTTAGATCAATTAGAAATAATATCTACTATAGCCTTTCAAGGTTTGATAAATCTTAATATTATCAAATTATATTTGTTTTCCATATTGTTTACTGAAAAAAAAAATTTTTGTTAACTTTTTTAAATTCATATTATTTTTCTAATTTAAGTTAAGGAACAGACTAAACTCTAAATTCTTTTTTACAAGAAAAAACTTACTAAAAGTTTTTAAGATTACCTATTAAGAAATAGGATATATATAGAGAGAAATTTTTTTTTTTTCCTTTTAGCATAGTAAAAAAAAATGCTCCACAAAAATAAAACACAGTTAATTCTATTTTTTATTTTACAACCGATGTTGAGCAGTCCGTTCATTTTCAGGCAGTAGTTGATTTGTTTCAATTACGTCAACTTTTGCATTCTTAAAATTTTAAATTGAAGATGTGAGAATATTTCCGTATTGATATTGATTTCGTATTGACAACTACCATCACCAAGTCACCTAAAGATCTTTGTATAACTAGCGAAAGTTGAAAGGAAAAAAAGTGAAAAGAAAGAAAGAAAAATATTAAATTGTTTACACAGAGGTAGTTACAAGTTATACTCATTAAAATAATCCTATTCTGAGTTTTTTTTTCTGTCGCAGATATTTATGTGGAAATATCCCCTAATATATGATATAAACTTCTGACTCAAGTTTTTATTATCATTATTAATATTATTAAAAAGCATACTATTGATGGAGATTGAAGATGAATTAACTCACATCTGTGTTACGTTGAGATAACGAGATAAACTATTTGAACATCACGTGTTCGATGGACTGCATGGCAATAGAACTTTGATTCTTGATGAGATTGATTCGAACATGCAGCGACTGTGTAAAAAGCGAGAACTATTTATTACAACAAAGCTATTTCAGCTCTTTATCACAGTAATTTTATTTTTATTTTATATCTTCAAAACTCTTTAAGAAAAACCGAAATTCATTTCAACTATTAATTGATAGAAAACACGGGAATGCGTTTGATTTCTCCTCTTTAAAATCTCAGTTGAAATCTCTAAGAAAAGTGAGGTATAACTTAGACAGTAAAATAGTTTTATGTATACATATACATATAATTGAAATACTTACTGATACATCTGTGAGGATGCTATGTAATAATAAAAATAATTAATGAATTCAAAAATAAAGCAATTTTGTTAATAAAAACAATTTCTTGAGATCGAAAGAGATTTTTAATGAAATTCTTATAATTTTATTGAACTTTGTGATTTTTTTTAATTATCGCGAAATTTCTATACAAGAAAATGGGCTGCAGAAATATATCTGTTTTTGCTTATTTGTTTGGTTTTCGATAGTTTTTAAGCTTAAAATGTTATCTCTTGTGACCTTAAATTCACTGTCATATACTTTTTAAGTTTCGAATATGTTACTTTATTTTTACATATTTCAATAATTTTTTTTTTTTTTTTTAAACATTTTGCTTATCAATTTTCCATTTGTATTAACCCTTAGACGCAGAATTTCCTTCTTTTCTTATTATTTTGTATCAATTTGTCAAACTAAATGAAAAATATCATTTTTTAGCATTTTAAGGATTTCTGGTTATGAAATACAGCATGAAACAGCGTTGTCGTTTTCTGGGTTAACGGTGAAATCTTCCAAACACGGCCCACATCCAAATAATATTTTTTTCTTCAAATTAGCACTTATTAGCAGCTATTTAGATGTAAGAGAAACAGTTATTCATCATTGAAATTTCCTTAATTTACAAAATCAGTTATTGATAAATTGTTGAATATGTTTGAAAAAAAATCAAACTGCGTTTTTTGAATTTTATATTTCGGAACTATTGCAATTCCAATAATCTAACATAATTTTTAGTTACTATTAGCGTGTTTTTTGTAAATAAAAAATACTAAAATATATTTTTGTTTGTAATTAGAGAGTCAGAAAAAAAAATGTTTAAAAAAAGGAACACCGATGTCCCATTTACGGCTAAGGGTTAATGCAAACCTATTTCTTCAAAATAAAAAACTTAAAAAAGTAATAATAAAGCCTAATTAAAGGTTAATTTAATAATATTAACAATTCTCCGGACAAAATATCTTTTTTGAATAAGAATCATCCTTTTCGAACAAGACTACACCTGATCTGAAGTAAGTCTCGACGGGCAAATTTCGAATGTACAGATTTTAGTTCTATATCTCTTAATTATATTTGTAATGAGGTTTCGGATTTTGAAATTCACCTCCTGTATTTTTTCAGGGAAGACTAGAAATGGACTCGTTTTTCATGTTGATAAAAAACACGTGGCATACAGTGTTGGACAAAATGTGATGGTCAGAGAAATAAGTAGTGGTAAAGAATACAGATACTATGGTCATTCGAATACCGTTTCCTGTGTAGCTGTTGCTAAAGATGGATCGTTTCTAGCTTCTGGACAAGAAAATTTTATGGGCTTTAAGGTACCTCAGTTTATTTATAAGCTGATTCATTCAGTTACTATTTATTTACAAAATGGTATTACTTCATAAAATATTATGCAGAAGTGTTCTCTAACCATTTATTTTAGTAACTACCTTTAATCACCATCTTAATTATATGTCTTTATTATTTTTTTAAAAAAAAAAGACTGGAAAAAATTTCAAATAAAATTTCAGGAAAAAATTTTGAATTTCAAAAAATTCCAATCACCAGTAGTATAGGTCTGGAATTTTCATGAGAAAAAAAAAATATGTTTAACTCTTTCGTTACAAGCGTCGTATTAAGCCCTCATCCACGGGATGGCCTGTGTGTACGAACGCTGTATCCATGTGACGACCTGTATATCTGTATTTACGATCTATATATTATATTTTATATTGACGAGCTCTATATTTAGCCAGCAACCATTTGATAATCCGTGAGTACGTTTGATGCCATGCGTGTACGTACGCCATGCTTAGCCAGCATCCACGTGATACTATTAGATAACAAACGGAAAACATATTTCGAATCCGCTTAATATGTTTTTTAAGTCGATTGCATTTTTATTTATAATGATGAAAATCAGCTTACCGACACGCTAAGTGCATACTTCGTGGAGCGGTGCATCATTCATTGGCGGAGCAAACTGCCGTAACGAAAGGGTTAAAGCCATTTTTACATACATACTGCACCAATCTTCGGGTTTCTTTGCTATTTGTTACTATCCCTTACTATCCCATTTTCTAATGAGAATTTAGAAAAATAATTTAATTTATCTTCTTTTTTTTGTGTGTGTCCTGTTTAACTTATATATTCAACAGTGGTATACTTTTAGGCAGATGTTATAATCTGGAATTTTCAAGATCAAACCATTTATGCTCGTCATAATATACATCGTGTGAAAGTGGAAGCAGTGGCATTTACATGCGATTCAAAATATATCATTTCACTTGGAGGACAAGACTGTGGGAAGTAATAAAAAATTAAGAGTTGATTAAGAATTACATATCATATTTCTGTGATTCATTGTTTTTATCATTTCATTTATTTTCTTTTAGCACATAATAGAATAGTACATTTTGGGAGTACATTATTTATTTATTTCATGTAAATAAAAATTTTGTTTTAATTATTATACTTGAACAAATTAGAGAAGCGTGGAAGGTTTGAGCTGACTTTTACAAAATTATTTTTTACTTTTTAGTTAACAAGATAAAATTTCCAAGTTGATATTATTTGATAACTCATCATAATTACCCTCTTCACTTTAAAAAAAAAAAATCCGTGTTGTTTTAATCATTTACGAATAATGCAACTAGAAAATGAACGCCTTGTTTTGAAAGCTCGAAACAAGTTTGATTTTTAAACATTAATTTTTGAAGCTTCATTGATAAGTATTTCTTACCATTATAGTTTCTTGGGGGTTATTAAGTTCATTCAATTCTATATATTAAATACTATTTTTAGTCTTCCCTTCCCCAAATCGTCCCGGCAAGAGCTCGACTCTCATCTATAATTCATTAAAAAATGCAACAAAAAAAAACTTACACCCGTAATTTGAAAGTTATAGACGCAGAAGGGGATTTCAATTCCTTCACTGTTATGAAAAAGCTCGAATAAAAAAAATCTATAATGGATAATGTAAGAATGAACTTAGCACTAAAACAAAAACTATTCTAGTTTCGATCAATTCCGTTGACATTAATTTAATACATCAGGTCGTTGGCAAGTCATTTTGTACCCAATATGGAACAATTGCAAACTTAATTTGCTCCAAAAGTAATGTTTGCTCGTTAAAAATCGGAATAGAAGTATCGCATTATCTTTTTTTAAAAAAAATTCTTCTTAGAAATTAAAAAATTATAATAAAGGGTCAATGCTAAAGGAACATAGCTGATCAACGCTTGCCTTCAATGGATTTTATGTGTTGTCATCTATCGTTGATTTCTGAGAAAAAAAGCTTTATACCTGTCACCGTCAAATACTGAAATAAACTAAAGCTCACTTGTCCAATGTCTGTAAAAAAATAATTTTAAACGATTTCTACCTTTAACGCTTTCTGAAACCAGGAAGGTAATTATGAATCACCTAAATGTACTTGTATTCTAAATTTATTATGTGTGAAAATTTATTATGTTTTTCATATTTTCTCAAAACTGTTATTGATTTAAATAATTATTGTGACACTTTGTCTTTTGAAAGTGTGGTTATCTATGACGTGGATAGCTCAGCTCTGCTTTGTGGAAATGTAGCTGCACCTCTTGCTGGAGGTTATGCAAATATATTACGCTGTGCTAACACGAGAAATGATATATTTGTTTCAGCTGGAAAGTAAGATTTTTAATAAAAAATTATTGAAATTAAAAATAATTAGTGAGTTAACTGTAGTAAAACTTTATTTTAGATATATTAATCAAATGTTACTTTCTTCATTAAAATATTTTTATAATTTATCCTTATCCTTGCTCAAGAGTTGCAATATAACATTCTGAGAGGAAACTTTTTTTGACAGTTCCTTGGACTAATTAAAAAAGAAACAAAACATACTTGCTTCACTTAAACATGATTCATAACTTTTAGAAAGCAAAGTATATTTATGATTAATAAGTATCAGGTACAGTTACCCGAAAAGAAGAAGAAAAAAAAAATAATAATCTCGTCTTTTCAAAATAAATGAATAAATAGTCATAATAATAATAATAAGTTGAAAAAGTATAAACAAGTAAGTAAAATGCTCAATTGTTTTAAATTTGGTGATATTTAAATTGCAGCTAATAAAGTACTTATTATATAACATTTCTTAGTAGATCATAAGATCATAACTAAATAATACTTTTTAATATGTACTTAATCAACTGTCTTAAAATTTTCTGTTTGCACTCTGTCTTTTTTTAAATTATATTTTAAAATAAGCAAGTTCGACTTCGTGTGCTGAGCTAAATGATCGGATTTCACAATGTTTTGTTTTTATCTTACACGTGTTCATTAGCATTGCTATTGGTATAGTTTCTGATTATACCCCTGATAAATTAGTATTATTATATCCTTGATATATTAGTAAAAATATATCGCCCCAAAAACTTTTTTCCTAGTAAATATGCAGTAAGTTACAAATTTACACTGAAGCTTAGTTGCGGTGTAGGGTGTTAATTAAATTATTACTAGAATATAGATTTATGTATCTGATAACAATGTAGATCATAAGTTCGCGCAAAGACTTCAAGGGCGGAAGCTATTAGGGGTTCTAGAGAACCAGTAATATCTTTGAATTTATTTTATTAAATATTGAAATTAAGAATAAAATTTTTCATTAATAACAAATTTTTCAATAAAATTTCCGTTGATACAAATATAAGATTTTTTATAATTTTACACTTTTTTTCTGAAACTTTTGGATTTCTTATGGTTAGCTTACGAAATATAACTGATATATTACAATAATAGCAGTTATAAATATATTGGACTACAGTGACGGATTTCAGGTTGCCCCTGTCCTCCTCATAAGGGAAAAAATTTTTTTACAGACCTATGAGAAACATTTATAGGTAAATTCCAAAGTTATTTAAATTTTAACTGAATAGAGATCCGTTTTATGTGAAAACTTATTTTCAAACAAAAAAAAGGTGTCATTATAAATTTATTGATTAATAGGAATTTTAAATAAATTTACAACGTGGAAAAAATGAATAATGGCGAAAATTTTCAACAACTTTAAAAAGTTTTGAGTTTTTAAAAGTCTAAGTTTTTTACTTTGTGAAGTGGGCGGTGATCCAAAAAAAGGTTTTGAAACTATGATGTAGATTAATTATAATACTAGATTTTACCGCAATCAACTTGCTTATGCTCGCCAACACACTGAAGGATTGCTAAATGGAATCGTCGAAAATTTGCGCGAACATTACTTGGTTTTCTCATAACACTTAAAACAAACTGCGTCAAGACAGATTCATGGTTGATAACCAATAATCGAAACAGAATGAAAATTTTTGTTTTAAACAGAGCGTTTTTATTTGATAATAAAAATAATAATAATAGTAAGCAAGTAAATTTTAAAAAAAATTAGAAAGTGTAAGAAGAGTAAATAATGAATTGGAATTTCTAGTCAAACGAACAGAAAACAAATCTTATAAACTTTTTAAAAAATTACGTAGGAATCCTACAAAAATGTAATTAATATTTTAAAAATCAATTACAATGAATAAAAGCCAACGATTTATTGAAAATGTTTTTGACACATTTTAAATTTATTTTTATATTTCAAAATAATGTTCGAAAATAAAAAACTATTAAATATGAATAAGATGTTTGCGTATTTATAGGACTAGATTGATAAAATTTTTCATTGAAATATGATAGTTTAAAACTCAATGAACAATAAAACTAATTTTCTTATTGTGTGATTTTCTTATTTTATTTCAGTAATAGTTTGCGAATATGGAAAATTAATTTCAGAAGTAAAAGAGTAACTCCAACCAATGCATCGATTGGACGTATTCGAAGAGAAATTAAATGCGTCGATGTTAGTAAGAGATTCTTAATTTATTTATTTTTGAAAAAAATAGAGCATTATTTTGATGTTAAATTAAATAAGGGCTTTGATATTTTTATTTTATTATTATAAAAATTATTGCTTGGATAGGGTTAGGCAAATGATTTGATTATTTAAAAGATTCCTAAATTACCGTTCTATCTAGTCATCTTTTCTGCTTTAAAATTTCAGTTACTAACAGCACACATTTTTTCTTGATATGAATTTATTTTTATGCATTGTTTTATCTCAACTTAATAAATATTATAAATTATTCTAGTTACAATAATAGTTTAGTATTTCGATTACAATAAAATGTTTTAAGTTAGTTTACTATTAACTTGTTGTAAAATTTTATTTTAATAGTGTGTTTTTATGTGGTTTCAAAACATGTTTTGAAAAACTTGTATAGACAGAGCTAAAACGAAATGTGGGAGAATTTAACGCAAAAAATAATGAATAAATGAATAACTGTAAGAAATAAGTAAAAAATTCACCTTTCTCATAACTCAACAACGGTTATGTATTACAGTAATGTTCACCCTACTATGTCTTTTAAAATACACGATTAAAAAATAAATAATTAAACTGATTAAAATACATGATTAAAAATGCATGATTATAAGCTTTTTTTCTTCTTTTTTATTGGTCTGGAATAAAACATCCGCTTTTCTTTAACTTCTAGTATTTCTAGATACGTTATTAGTACTATTTCTAGAATTTTAATCATTTTATAGTTAACGCCGTAGTCATATTTTTGCACTCTTATAATTTATAAATAATTAAAAAAGTTCTTCAAATTCAATACTCGGTTTACTCAACTAATAATTTATCCATAATTTAATACGAAATTTAGAATTAGTGTCATTCGCATTATTATATACCGAGCATTCCATATCGTAATAGGTGACATTGTATTCGATTTTATTTTTCAACACTGATCTCAGTCCCTTTGATTCATAGGTGTAAAGTATATTTTTAAAATTTCTACATTATAAAATACTCTCAACAGTTTTAGAAACTATTTAGTTGGAAATTTACTGACACTTTCGATTTTTTTGTTTAATTTTAACCAGCTAATTTTAAAATTCTTACAGATAGACATAGCTGATAACTACTTATATTGTGGAACTGCTTCTGGTGATATACTTAAACTTCAAATAGTCCTCAGTGAAGAAGGTTTCGATGCGAAACTATTAAATTGTTTAATGCGAATAGTTAGCAAAGAGATCATCCGAGATATTCCTCTATTCAGTGGAGGTGAGTCTTTTTTCAAAAGGCATGCGTTAAACAATCTTAAAAAGTCCTTATTTATTTTCATATTTCTTTTCGTTTCCACCTCTTTCTTTTTTTTTCAAAGAAAGTCTTCGTTTCCCTTTCGCGTTGGCAACAAGGAAATTAAATATCAAGCGCGTGAGCTGGTATAAGCACAAAAGCGCACACTCACACCAGTGGCGGACGTAGCGGGGGGGTCATAGAGGTCATAACCCCCCCCCCCGAAAAATTTTTTCTTTAAGATTAAAATAATAATAATAATTTTTTTAATAGTTTACGAAAGAAATAAAGTATTTTAAAAATAATTTAAGGCATATATCGGAGAAATCAATTTTTTTCCCATCTAATTATATTCTTCACTGTTTCAAGAATCATATCGTTGTTGTTGTCCATTTACGTCGCACTAGAGCTGCACAATGGGCTATTGGCGACGGTCTGGGAAGCATCCCTGAGGATGATCCGAAGACATGCCATCACAATTTTGATCCTCTGAAGAGGGGATGACACCCCCGCTTCGGTAGCCCGACGACCTGCACGCGAAGTCGAGCACTTTACGGTAGAACAGTTTAACGAGGACCAATACCGCACACATTCGATCCCTACGCAGACTGATCCAAGTAATCACAAACTCGCACACTGACAGCAGCTAGTGATGCTTAACTTCGGTGATCTGCTGGGAACCGTGTCTTAACGATCAGTCCACTGCGGGATCATAATCCAAAAGATTAAAACGAAATTCGTCATAGTTTCATTGTAAACATTAATAATGCTGAAGCGCGCCGAGTGCGATTAAATGAACTCGCATTATTAAACATTCATCGAGAAATTGATTTGGATATTGAAAAAATCATTGACAGATTTGCCAAAGTTTCAAAAAAGCGTATTACATTTATTATTTATTTATTAAGATGTTAAATATTTGAATTATTTATGCATTGCTCTATTGATTGTTCATTGTTCATTATGGGCAATTTTATCCTCTCAAGAGTTAGGCCATTTGACGGCCTTACAGCCATAGCTCCAAATCACGAAATTTATAATTGTGTTTTTAATAATGTTATGAATCTCCGATCATTGTTTTTAAANATTAGAAAGTGTAAGAAGGGTAAATAATGAATTGGAATTTCGAGTCAAACGAACAGAAAACAAATCTAATAAACTTTTTAAAAAATTACATAGGAATCCTTTAAAAATGTAATTAATATTTCAAAAATCAATTACAATGAATAAAAGCCAACGATTTATTGAAAATGTTTTTGACACATTTTAAGTTTATTTTTATGTTTCAGAAAATCATGTTCGAAAATAAAACACTAATAAATATGAATAAGCTGTTTGCATATTTATAGGACTGGATTGATTAAATTCTTCACTGAAATATGATAGTTTAAAACTCAATGAACTATAAAGCTAATTTTCTTATTGTGTAACTTTTCTATTTTATTTCAGTAATAGTTTGCGCATATGGAAAATTAATTTCAGAAGTAAAAGAGTAACTCCAACCAATGCATCAATTGGACGTATTCGAAGAGAAATTAAATGTGTCGATGTTAGTAAGAGATTTTTAATTTATATATTTTTGAAAAAAATGGAGTATTATTTTGATGTTAAATTAAATACAAGCTTTGATATTTTTATTTTATTATTATTATAATTTTTGCTTGGATAGAGTTATGCAAATGATTTGATTATTTAAAAGATTCCTAAATTACCGTTTTGTCTAGTCATCTTTTCTGTTTTAAAAATTTAGTTACTAAAAATACACAATTTTCCTTGATATGAATTTATTTTTATGCATTGTTTTATCTCAACTTAATAAATATTATAAACTATTATAGTTTCAATTATAGTCTAGTATTTTGATTACAATAAAATGATTAGTTTACTATTAACTTGTAAAATTTTATTTTAATAGTGTGTTTTTATGTGGTTTCAAAACATGTTTTTAAAAACTTAGACAGAGACAGAAACGTAAACAGAGCTAAAACATAATGAGGGGAGAATTTAACACAAAAAATAATGAATAAATAAATAACTGCCAGAAATAAAAAATACACCTTTCCCATAACTTAACAACGGTTATGTATTACAGTAATGTCCACCTTATACAATGTCTTTTAAAATACATGATTAAAAAATAAATGATTAAAATACATAATTAAAAATACATGATTATAAGCTTTTTTTTCTTTTTTATTGGTCTGGAATATAACATACGACTAACGCTGTAGCCATATTTTTACACTCTTATGATTTATAAATTATTAAAAAAGTTCTTCAAATTCAATACTCAGTTTACTCAACTAACAATTTATTCGTAATTTAATACAAAATTTAAAATCAGTGTCATTCACATCATTCTATACCCAACATTCTATATCGTGATAGGTGACATTGTATTCGATTTTATTTTTCAACACTAATCTCAGTCCCTTTGATACATAGGTGTAAAGTATATTTTTAAAATTTTTCCATTATAAAACACTGTCAACAGTTTTAGAAACTATTTAGTTTGAAATTTATTGACGCTTTCGATTTTTTTTCTTTTTTTTTTGTTTAATTTTAGATAGTTAATTTTAAAATTCTTACAGATAGACATGGCTGATAACCACTTATATTGTGGAACTGCTTCTGGTGATATACTCAAACTTCAAATAGTCCTAAGTGAAGAAGGTTTCGATGCGAAACTATTAAATTGTTTGATGAGAATAGTTAGCAAAGAGATCATCCGAGATATTCCTCTATTCAGTGGAGGTAAGTCTTTTTTCAAAAGGAATGCGTTAAACGATCTGAAAAAGTCCTCATTTATTTTCATAATTCATTTTCCTTTCCACCTCTTTTTTTTTTTTTTTTCTTCAAAGAAAGTCCTCGTTCCCCTTTCGCGTTGGCAACAAAGAATTTAAATATCAAACGTGTGAGTTGGTATAAGCACAAAAGCGCAAACTCACATGTTTACAAATTTAAGAATGAAAATTCTTTTCTCGCTTTGACAGTGAAAAGCTGAAACAAACTAAGTTATAAGGTGGGAAGAATTGAAATGTTAAAAGTGAATAATTCATATCAACGAAGTGTTTTATTATAGTATATTTTATTTATTATGCAGGTTCAATAATAATAATTTTATTCATTTGTTATTATTATTTATTAAAAAAAAATGAATATTAGTTGCGCTGTTACGCTCTTTTAAATATAGTAAGAAAGCGTGCTCGTTAGTTAGAATAAAGTGTTCATTAAAGTTATGAAAGACGTAGTAACGTTGAAAGAAGGCGTAAGAGACGTGCTGCCATGTATGGTTTTTAACTATGCAGTTTTCAGTCATGGACAATTTTATCCTCTCAAGAGTTAGGCTATTTGACAGCCTTATAGTCATAACTCCAAATCACGAAATTTATAATTGTGTTTTTAATGATGTTATGAATCTCCGATAATTACTTTTTAAAGCACAATTATTGCTTTGTTTTTTTTTATATTTTCTACTGCATGGCTTTTATTTCAACTTGAAATTTTTATTTTCAAAAACTCATCAACTGAAAATTTTAATTTTGTAAAGACCAATTAGTTTCAAAGAGAAAAAGAGAAGTTCGTTATAAGGATTTTAATAATTAATTTTCTTAAGATTCAGCATTTCAAATGGGTTTTAACTTAGTATGGCTTGCAAAGCAAACCATTCAAGAATGCATAGCAGTCTTTGGGGGAGGAAGCGCATCAGCGGACGGGTGTGTGGAAAGCCCACTAGTAAGATGATAATTATTTCAGATGCTGAGCAGTTTTTATTTCTTTGACACGTATAACGTTCTTAGCCTATGAACATTCATATGATTCTGCTTATGGATTCAATACATAGTACACAAATAACAGAGGAATTTTAAACTCGAAGCAAAATCCTGTCTTCAAGTTAATACCGATTTTTTTTACTATCATTAAATTATACAAGTTGCTCTTATGTTGTGAAACATCGCATTTGATAAATAAAACATTCTTTATTGCGGATTTCGAGTTGGAAGTATTATTCAATGTTCCCTTTTTATGCAATTTCGCGTTTGGAAATCTACAAGTATAAATAGTTCAAATCGAAGAAATTTAACGCCTTGATGTGAAGTCGAAGGTCTATACGTAATAATAAGTTCATGATCCCCGGTATCAGGATATTAGGCAGTTAATTACTGAGATTCAGACAGATTCACCCCAAATTGAAATAGTAGACCATAATATCGTTTATCGACCATATATAGTAGACCATATTATCGTTTAAATTTGCTACAACGAACTTTTCTATAAGCAAGGTGTCAGCTTGTTTTTACATACTTTTATTCATTTTTAATGTTGAAACTTATTACGTAAAAAATAAAAAGTTTGATTGCCACCAAAGCCTATTGCATTACATTTTGAAAGAATCATTATACGATTTGCATTCTATACGTAATCTAATTTGCTAATTTGCTTCCCCTTTTTCCCTTCCTTTTTTTTTAATTTTACTGTCTAATTTCAGAACTTCTTTTTTATAATCATACTTTATAATGCAGGTGTAACTGCTATAGCTGTTTTAAAAACTGGAGAACTGTTAATTGGAACTGGAGATGGAATTGTTTGTCGCTGCAGTCAAGTAGAGTGCCCAGTAAAAGACTTGACAAAGAAACCCCATACGGGAACAGTTCCTACTAAGAAAACTAAAGCTAAGCAAGTCAAAATAGAAATGAAACTTAAAGAACTAGAGTAAGTAATAGGTTTAATTTTTATTTCTTTAAATTTTTTTTTTACTCCTCATATCCATAAATTACCAGGGTCAGACTACAACTAAATTGAAGACCACTACCCGGAGGTAGATTTTGAGGCTCTATTGCCAAACAATTTCAGAACAATTACTAACACCAAAATTACTCGAAATTCGAACTTCAATTGCTTATTTTATGAGCTTAATTACGGTGTCACACAGAGATAGCATACTTTTATTTATCATTTATCTATATCTGATCCATGCATATTTACTATACTAACTACTCACAATTTCGCAAACTTTTAGAATTAAAAAATTTAGCTTCTTACAGGGACTGCTTTTTAGCGTTTACATTCTTTTCCATAGCTTAATGTTTATTGTTTATAAAATTGAGTAAATGTATTTCTTAATTGTTTTATTATTGCTGTTTTTCTTGCGTTTTAGAAAAACTTTGATACTCGGAGAAGTTACATCAATAGCTCTGAGAGGAGATGGACACCAGGTAACTATAACTCAGAGGCACTATCTTGATTTTTTTATTAAATCCATTCTAATTTAAAAGAAATGTTTAGATCATTTTGTTTTCGAGGGCATCAATCCATAATGAATAAACACATTAATGGGTGTAAAATGTAAGTTTAATCTGTGACTTTTTCTTGATAAAGAGAGTGAGGAAAAAAATGAAAAAATGAATGAAGAACCTTACTTACCATATGATTCTATTTTTCTTCCTAAAAATGCATGCATACATTTTTTTCTTCTTTCCATTTCTAAATTTTTATACAAGGGAGAAAATCATCTTATTCTTTATATAGAACAGCGGCTCTCAATTTGTTTCGGCCATGGTACCTAAATGATTGACCATCCTTTTGGCGGAATCTTAACCTTAATTAATGAAGTTCATTTGTAACTGGAACATCTTAACTAAATAAAAACTGCCAATTATTTCAAAATAGTGGAGAATCTAGTTTTTATCAATATTAGTTCTAAAATTAAAATTTTTGTCAGTTAAATTCATGAGCATTTAGTCTATTTTAAAATTTGTTTTTGATGATTTCATAAAAAATAGGCAGAAAATAAATAATAAACGGTATTATGGATAAAGTCCAAATAAAAGCGAAAAAGAACTATATAATAAAAGTTAAGAATGGTTATCAGAGATACATAATTCTTTATTCTTGCATGTGATTTTCTTTTATTTTTGATTAAAACACTCGCTTGGAAATGCTGTTGTAAACTTGATACATGCATATCCTTTTAATTATAATTTCATAACATTGTTTTTTCTTTTCTCGCTTCTCTATATTTCAGGAAAACAACTAAAATATTAATTAAATATAGGATTATTGACGGACTGTAAATATGATTATAGGTTTCAAAAATCAGAATTGCTTACATTTAGTCTTAAATTTCAGAATACCTGTGACCTTTCTTTGAAACCCTGTGTTCCGCGGGACACAGTTTGGGAACCGTTTACATAGAGTATTACTTGCTTACCCAGAAATAAAAAACAAAATATGTTTTTTAACATGTTTCAGTTATAATTTTTCACGGAAAAGAAATTGTCTAAATGTATTGCCCTAGCATGGTTCCATAAAGCTTTTAATAAATTATCAACAAACTTTAAGAATTTTTTAGAATAAAAAAATTATCAAATCAGTAACACTATGGATTAGAGCAGTGATTCTCAACCTGTGGGGCGCGCCCCCCTAGGGGGGCGCGAGCCCACCAGAGGGGTGGCGCGAGAATATTCAAGAGAAAATATTATTTAAAAAAATTGATTAACTGGATGAAAGGAAAGCGCACATATACATAGAAAACAAAATACATTTTGACATATTTAATAACTTATTAAAGTGAAACAACTTATTAAATCAAAATTTAAGGTGGGGAGCCAAGGGTGGCTTGGCCTTAAGGATTTTTTTATAATTTTCTGATTAAGTCTGTGTATCTGAATTTTTTCTGTAACATCTTACACCTATCTCTAATCTATATCACGTATACTTTTAATTGTAAAATAAAATTATAGTACAATTTTAAAATTTTAGCTTCTGCACCTAAGGTTTCGCACAGGTTCCGAAGGTGAGCCATGTTTTGAAATCACTTTTTCACTTCCTCAAATTATCTATAGAAAAAATACTTGGACTGGCAAACTACTTTTAAAAAGGCACTTTAAGTGTCTTGCTGGTAGGAACAAGTTTCCCGACTTTAAAAAAGATATTTGTTTTCAGAGTGTATAATTTGTTTATTGATTTTACTTTGATAGTTCTTGTGTGAAATCACTAGCGATTCTTTTGAGTTAACTCATTAGAATTAATCAAGAATTATTGAGTTAATTTTTTCAGAAGGATTAGCCAACAAGTAAGAGTTAAATAACCATACTAGAGTTAACTAACNTTGCTTCCCCTTTTTCCCTTCCTTTTTTTTTAATTTTACTGTCTAATTTCAGAACTTCTTTTTTATAATCATACTTTATAATGCAGGTGTAACTGCTATAGCTGTTTTAAAAACTGGAGAACTGTTAATTGGAACTGGAGATGGAATTGTTTGTCGCTGCAGTCAAGTAGAGTGCCCAGTAAGAGACTTGACAAAGAAACCTCATACGGGAACAGTTCCTACTAAGAAAACTAAAGCTAAGCAAGTCAAAATAGAAATAAAACTTAAAGAACTAGAGTAAGTAATAGACTTAATTTCTTTTATTTATTATTTTTTTTTATTTATTATTTTTTTACTCTTCGTGTGCATAAATTACCAGGATCAGACTGCAACTAAATTGAAGACCACTACCCGGAGGTAGACTTTGAGGCTCTATTGTCTAACAATTTCAGAACAATTACTTACATCAAAATTACTCGAAATTCGAACTTCTATTGCTTATTTAGAATAATTATTAACTATGTGGAATTAACGAGCTTAATTACGGGGTCACACACAGATAGTATACTTTCATTTATCACTTATCTTTGATCTATGTTTACTAACTACTCTCAATTTTGCAAACTTTCAGAATTGAAGAATTTAGCTTCTTACATGGACTGTTTTTTAGCTTTTATATCTTTTCCATAGCTTAATGTTTATTGTTTATAAAATTGAATAAATGTATTTCTTAATTGCCTTATTATTGCTGTTTTTTTTTTTTTTTTTGCGTTTTAGAAAAACTTTGATACTCGGAGAAGTTACATCGATAGCTCTTAGAGGAGATGGACACCAGGTAACTATAACTCAGAGGCACTATCTTGATTTTTTATTAAATCCATTCTAATTTAAAAGAAATGTTTAGATCATTTTGCTTGCGGGTGCATTAATCCATAATGAATGAACACGTTAACGGGTGTAAAAAGTAAGTTTAATCTGTGACTTTTTCTTAATAAAGAGAGAGAGGAAAAAAATGAAAAAATGAATGAAGAACCGTACTTACCCTATGATTCTATTTTTCTTCCTAAAAATGCATGCATACATTTTTTTCTTTCCATTTTTAAATTTTTATACAAGGGAGAAAATCGTTTTATTCTTTATATAGAACAGCGGCTCTCAATTTGTTTCGGCTATGGTACCTAAATGATTGACCATCCTTTTGGCGGAATCTTAACTTTAATTAATGAAGTTCATTTGCAACTTGAACATAGTAACTAAATAAAAACTGCTAATTATTTCAAAATAGTGGCGAATCCACTTTTTATCAATATCAGTTTTGAAATTAAAATTTTTGCCAGTTAAATTCATGATCATTCAGTCTATTTTTTAATTTGTTTTTGATGATTCCATATAAAATAAGTAGAAAATAAATAATAAGCGGTATTATGGATAAAGTCGAAATAAAAACGAAAAAGAACTATATAATGAAAATTAAAAATGGTTATCAAAGATACATAATTCTTTATTCTTGCATAAAGTTTTATTTTATTTTTGATTGAAACACTCGTTTGGAAATGCTGTTGTAAACTTGATACATGCATATCCTTTTAATTATATTTTCATAATATTGTGTTTTTCTTCTTCTTTTTTTTTTTTTCGTTTCTCTATATTTCAGGAAAACAACTAAAATAGTAATTAAATATAGGATTATTGACGGACTGTAAGTATGATTATAGGTTTCAAAATTCAAAATTGCTTGCATTTAGTCTTAACTTTCAGAATACCTGTGACCCTTCTTTAGAACCCTGTGTTCCGCGGGACACATTTTGGGAACCGTTTATTATAGAGTATTATACTTGCTTACCCAGAAATAAAAAACAAACAATATGTTTTTTAACGTGTTTCAGTTATAGTTTTTCATGGAAAAAAAATTTCTAAATGTCTTTCCCTCGCATGGTTCCGTAAAGTTTTTAATAAATTATTGACAAACTTTAAGAATTTTTTAGGATAAAAAAATTATTAAATCAGTAACACTATGGATTAGAGTGGTGATTATTTTTTCTTTAGCAAAGTTGCCACTTAGAAGAGAATATTATTGTGGAAAAAAGTTAAACAATTTCTATATTTCTTAATTAACTACACTTTAGGTTACATCAGATCATAGTCAAGCAAAAAATACGTCACGATAACAAATGGACAAATTTGAATTCTAGTCTTTTGAATTTCTCGAATTCTCTTAAAAATGTTTAAAGTTACTCTACTCTTGACAGTAACTTGGATTTATTCTTCTTTTTTAAAACATTTTTGACTCTGATTTCATAGTGTAAGTGAACCCTATTTTTGCTGTATACTATAAAATAAATTTTTTTTTTAATTGCGAGATTATTCACGTTGAAGGTTATTTCTGTAATAATATAATTTATAAATTTAAAGAAAATTGTTTTGTTCTTTTAAAATATGTATAATTAATTAGCTTTCTTTCCATTAATAGTTTTTGGTTGGTTCTCAAAAGTCTGAAATTTATCAAGTCACTTTGATTGGATTTAAGTGTGAGCGAATTTATACTTGCCACGGTAAAGCTGTCCGTGATGTTGTCTTTCCTTAGTAAGCGCTTAAATTTTTATTATTTATCCAATGTAAACTCATGTTATAATTTATAACGGAGGAGGCAAAGCCACGCGGTAAAAAAAATCACTGATACATTTCTTCAGAATAATGAAACCGACAAAGAATTTGTAAAAAATTATAGGTGCTTGAAAATTTTAGTATTCTCTCACTTGGTCAGAGAATAATCCCGTAGTTTTAATCAATATATAATCTGAAATGACTTATTTAATTCAAGACTCGAATTTTAAGACCAGAAATTGCCTGCATTTGCCTTTAATCGTAATTACGCATTTAATATACGGGGTGCTTATAGTTAAAGTTACCATAGATAAACCAGTATAACGTACATTTTAATAAAGGGATGTCCAATAAATCTGATATATACAACATTTGGACCATGAAAAATATAAAAGAAATTTGCTATAAAATTAGTTTTCGTTATAATCGTTAGATAGCGCTTTTCATGCACGAAAAAACGTTAATGCATTTTATTGTGGTTTGAAAAACCAGTTAGTAGTCTTTGCAGTAAAATCAATCAGCAATATGCCATAACAGAAAAAAGATTATTACCTAATTCAAAACAACTGGGTGCAAAGAAGAGGACAAAAAGACTTCCAAATCATACTGAATTTAAAATCATGCATAAGCATAACATGTGATGTCGTTGCAATAGATTGAAAAGCTCTTAATTGAACTTTATGAAACAAATTTTGAATAAGTGTTTGACAAATATGGAATATGCACTGAATCTATACATTGATATAATACATTTTTGCATCCACAATTTATGTGTTTTATACTGCCCCATAGTGGACACAGTGGATCACCGAAGTCAAGAATCATTAGCAATGGTCAGTGAGCGGGTGGATCATTTCTTTAATTAGTCTGAGAGGGACTGAGTGTACGCTGTATCGGTCCTCGTTAAACTGTTCTACAGTAAAGTGCTCAACTTCACGCGCAAGTCGTCGGACTACTAAAGGGAGCCATCCCATTTGCAGAGAATCAAAATTGTGATGGCTGGCTTTGGATCATCAACATCAGGAATACTTCCCAGACTGCCGCTCCCATTGTGCAGCTGAATTGCTGTTTATTCTTTATATTCGTTCTTTTCTCATTCATTGCTAAAATTTTAAACATGTTGCTTTTATTGAAAAAATTTTACCATCTACAGAATACATGATTCCAAGCTTCATTACCATCCATCAACCAGAATGATCTCTATGTTGGTCTAAAAAAATTAACTTCGATTATAACCACCCTATAGAATGATTTCAGAATATTTCTGAAAGATGAATGCGAATCGCGGCTAATTCATTTCTCTTAATTTGTAAACGTTTATTATGTATTTTATTTCCTTACACCAACATAAACTCTGTTATTTTTTTTAGCAAATGTTCAGATTTGTTCACTACTTGTTCCTTTGAAACAATCCGAGTCTGGAATCTCGCCTCTTCCTTAGAGCTTTTGCGTATTGAAGTTCCTAACATGACATGCCATTCTGTATTAGTAATGAGAGACGGAAGATCAATTATAAGTGGTAAATTTTATTTTCAAATTTATCTGCTTTCATATTTTCATTTTGTATTTATTTGTTAGCATAAATCAAGATCGAATCATCAATTTGATAGTTAATCTTATCTCTAATAATTATAAGATAAATTATCTCTCCTCCAACATCAAATGTTAGTTTAAAATAATTATAAAAGAAATAAAAAAATATGTATTGAAAGATTGCAGGTATTTGTACTTTTATAGATTCATGTATAGATGAATTAATCTAACCAATATATAACTTAATAGATTAAAATAAGTCCACGTGGTTTTTATTTTAGGTTTAATTAAACCCAAAATTAGTTTTTTAAAAGCAGCTTGTGAGTATGTATTTACTGATTTTTTTTTTCTCAAAATTTTCTGTAATGACCGATTTTCTTATAAAAAGTATCTTTTTAGATAATAGCATGCTCTTTTTATAACTGTTGTGACTTTGTTACATTTTATAACTGCTTTATAGGATAAGTATTGTTCATTTATATAGCGTTCTTTGCTATTAATTTTTATTATTAGCTAAAAAAGAACTGTTATTATTGGTGCAATTTTCTAAAATGAAAAAGAAATTCAATAAAATTAAGTTGTTATTTTATTTTTTTATGTATATTTGAAAAGTTTTTCATCGTTGTAATGTTTCATCTCAGGACAAATATGTGAAATTAAAGAATTTCTCATTCATTTTAATAATTTTATACTAGATTTAAAAAATTAAATAAATAATGATTTTTTTCAACAAAGAAATTTTTTAAATCAATTTTTTTAATCTATTTTTAACGATGCCAAATTTTTATTAGTAAAATAGTAATGTTGGTAAAAAATTAAAGTTTTAGTTCAAGTTTGAGGTATTCAAACGCGCACACTCTCTCTCTCCCTCTCTCTCGATTTGATTAAAGAGAATAATTGTCAAATTAATAATTTATTTATATTTTTTCTAAATCGATATTTTTATTTTTAAATAAATAGAAGGAAATTAAATTTCAATTTTGATATCTCAAATTTTTGCAAATTTGAACCTGTACACTTGAACTGTTGAACATTTTCAAAAATGCAATCCTTTGTTATCAATGAGTTTATGTGCTGTAGTTACATGAGAAAATTTTTATAATCTGTTAGGTTAAAAATTTGTGCCATTGTTTCGAATAAAGAAAAATAATGATTGTATTCTTGATTTGACCTAAAAATCTATAACAACATAAGCTACTTGAACAATCTTTTGAAACTAAATGAAATAGTTTCAATTGCATTTACAGTACCAATAGTTTGGAATCATAACTGCTTCTCTTGCAATTATAATAGCATTTTGTACTATTTGTGTGACTAATCCCCTCACTGTCTAGCGGCAGCTGGACATTATCAATGAGTTCATACACTCTCAAGAAATCCAGGGCAAGCAAAGGGTCCGTCGCATAAGTCAAATAGTTAGAATTTAAATGTATTAGTGTGTGAAACACTTATTTTCAATTAGTAAGTGTTCTTAATTTAAATGAACAGGATGGAATGATGGTAAAATTAGAGGTCATACTCCTGAAACTGGCCATCCTATTTACATCATAGTGTGTGAAACACGTATTTTCCATTAGTAAGTGTTCTTAATTTAAATTAACAGGATGGAATGATGGTAAAATTAGAGCTCATACTCCTAAAACTGGCCATCCTATTTACATCATAGTGTGTGAAACACGTATTTTCAATTAGTTAGTGTTCTTAATTTTAAATTAACAGGATGGAATGATGGTAAAATTAGAGCTCATACTCCTGAAAGTGGCCATCCTATTTACATCATAGTGTGTGAAACACGCATTTTCAATTAGTTAGTGTTCTTAATTTAAATTGACAGAATGGAATGATGGTAAAATTAGAGATCATACTCCTGAAACTGACCATCCTATTTGCATCATAGTGTGTGAAACACGTATTTTCAATTAGTTAGTGTTCTTAATTTTAAATTAACAGGATGGAATGATGGTAAAATTAGAGCTCATACTCCTGAAACTGGCCATCCTATTTACATCATAGAAAATGCTCATCAACGGGGTGTGACAGCCATTGCCGCGACTTCCAACTGTCGCAATATCATAAGCGGTGGAGGTGAAGGAGATGTTAGGGTCTGGAATGTCACAACAAGTGTTCAAGTAATAGTTCTATTCTTTTAAAAAATTATTTTTAATAAAACTTAACTATTTTGTTCAGAAATGAAATATTTCTTATGGTTTAAATTATAAATTGCTATTGATCCCCTTTGTCACAGAATTTTTATTAAACATATTTTTCACGCCTTTTTTATTATTTTGTAAAAATTTATAATCAAAATAAGGGGGGGGGGAACTATAAAATAATTTATAGTTATAAAATACAGCTTGAAACATCGGTGTCTTTCTCTGCGTTATAGGTAAAATCTTCCTTACATTCCAAAACAATAATTTTTCAAATTTGCAGTTATTTAGATCTATGAGAAACAGTTATTCGTCATTGAAAATTTGTTAATTTACAAAATCAATTATTGATAAATTTTTAAATAATAATAAAAAGAATTTCCAAACTACATTTTTTGTATTTTATATTTTAGTACAAATATAATTTCGAAAATCTAACAGATTTTTTCCGTAACTATTAGACTGTGTTTTTTATACCAAAATATATTTTTACTTGTGAGCACCAGAAGAAATATATATAAAGGAAACACCGGTGTCTCATCTGCGTCAAAGGGTTAGAGATTTGAATACTTAGTGTGCAATGTTATTAACAACAAAGCAAGTGCATATAAATAAAAAGTTTAAAACTTTGATACATGATGCATTTATTTTCAACTACTTAACTTTTATTTTATAGCAGAAAGGGAACAAACCAATTAGAATATCTCCCCCCTCCCCTATTTTTCTCAATTGAAAATATTTATTACTTAGATACTTGAGATATTAAAGCTTATTTATTACTTTAATGCCTAGATACTTGGCATATTTATTTTCCTTATACATTTATTTTCATTTTATATTACTAAAATATAAAAAGAAACATCTTTGTCCCATTTGCGTCTAAGGGTTAAAGATTTAAATACTTAAAACCTTAATGTGCATTGTTATTAACAACAAAGCAATTGCATATAAACAAAAAATTTTAAACCTTTGACACTTGACAGTTATTTTCAATTTTTTAACTTTTATTTTATTACAAAAAATCAACAAGTAAACTAGAATGTATCTCCCCATCTCTTCAATTGAAAATATTTATTACTTTATTACTATTAAATTGAAAAAATATGCATTTATTACTTTATATATTTACTATTTATGATAATCGAATGAAATGGAAGATAAGAAAACCATTACAGTTTTTGTAATTTTTTTTGTTGCTTTTAATTTTTTTATATGATCAAAAATCATTTTTAATATTGAAATCAATCAGGTTTTTTGTTTTGCTTTTGCAAGTGATTTGAATTAAAATTTTAGGTTCTTCTTCGTACAATGAAAGAGCATAAAGGTGCGATTACGTGCATAAAAGTGAAAAGTAATGATAAGGAATGCGTAACTTCAGCAGGTGATGGCTCATGTATAATTTGGGATTTAGAGTAAGTTGTAATTATCGAATTATTTGAATTAAAATTGAATTACATAATTTTTATTCTATATTCTCTTTTCTCTACCACACGATTAAACTAGGCAAAGTAAAGAGAGGCAAATTATTTTGCTGCTGTACCGTTCCTCATCATGTAATTTTGCTACTTTTAATTAAAATACAATCACTTAACATAAGTGGAAAGTCCAAATTACGCTTAAAAAATTCAAGTTACTATTATTTAAAGTCAAAACCCATTAAACGAATGATCCCAGTAAGGAAAATTTTAACAAACAGTTTCCTTAGTTCCTAAACTAAGGTGAAAGAGTTTGAGTGAAAAAATAAATAAAATCATCCTGAATACCTTTAGTTTTAATTATTGGATTTTTCATGAATTTATAGCTATTTTTAGTCTAATTATTTTATATATGCAAGTTAATTATTTTAGACGATATCATAAGTTAAGAAAACAGACGATAATAAGGATTAAAAATTATGAATCAGACGTTAAATTGCAAATATTTAAGTCACAAAAACATACTTTCTCTGAATAAACTTAGATTTTTATATATTCAACAGATTTAGATTTCCGACATTAAAATTATGTGAGATAGCTGCAATCTGGAATATATGGTCTAAATCGTTTAGTCAGAACAGCGAAAAGTTATTGCACATTGTTATAAAACTCGTTTATACAAAGATAATTAATTCCATTAAAAATAACTTTAATAATTATTTAATATATTTATTATTTTATTTAATGATGGTCGAAATGATTTTTTACTGTAAGGCATTCAAATTTCATTTTGTGTAATTTCAAATGACAAAATACAAAATTTGAACGAATTCGGACGAAACAGTAACATAAAAGTTATAAAATTTCAAAAAGCCACATTTTTAAACTTCCTAAGATTTTATCACTTTTATTTTAACTGATGCTATTGACCTTATGATAAGTAAACTCATGTTTTCGTATTTTTTTGTCAGGAATTTCATAAGGATGCAAGTGGTGTTTGCAAACACAATTTTTCAAGCAGTGTGTTATGGTCCTGAGGAATATCAAATAATTAGCTGTGGAACGGATCGTAAAATTTCTTATTATGAAGTCCTTGATGGAACGATGGTACGAAGTTTAGAAGCTTCGCTATCCGGATCTATAAATGCTATGGACATAACTGATGACTGCAAATTGTTTGTCACTGGTGGCGCTGATAAGTTGATAAAGGTAGATATTACTTTCAAACAACTATTCTTCACTTATACGGTATAATTTTTTTTATTGAATTTGATGCTTAGTCTAACTGCTAGAAAAAGTTGATATTTATTTTAGAATAATTCACATAGTACTACGCTACTAATTGGCAAAGGTGTTAGAAGGATTCAACAAATATCTACTTCTAAAAACCTAATTGTAGTATTGCATTAGAAAATAAGCAAAACAATATTGAAAATTGAATCTGCGTTGCTAAGGACATTTCATAGTGCTTTTGTCGGATAATGCCAATGCTCTGGTCACAAAACATTCTTTAATTATTTTAAAGTTTTCATCCAATTTTTTTTTTTTAAATAAAAGAATTTTATTCTTAATTCAGAGGAAATTTTTCAAGATTACTAAGCCACAAAATTAAAATAATAATAATAAAATAAGTAGCACTCAAATTGTGTTATTTACCAAGACGTATTTTAAAAAAGATTTCGTTTTTACTAATTAAAAAAATCTTTATGAATAAGAGAAGTGAACAGAAAGGAATCATTGACATTTTAATGTTAGTTGATAATAATTAAACCCTCAAATTTAAAAGAAAGTTTAAGAAAACTACCTAAGTTGTGTAATAAAACTACAATCAAAACAAGAAAACTACAATAAAAATTTTAATCTAAAATCTAAGATGCTGACATTACAGGTTATTTAAAGTTTAATTTGAAGTATCATTTAAGAAACATCCTACAATTGCAACACTAAATACAAAAATCAAACAGTCTCTGCATATGAGAAACCTAATGTAGATAAATTATGCAGAGTAGGTAGGTTATGTAGTGTGGACTTTCAGCCATAAATTAGGAAGACTACGACAACCAATAGGTTATCTTTGTTGGACCCTAAGTTTGGATTAGGTTTACCCCCGAATCGAATACCTACATTAGGTTGGACGGTTGAGTTTAGATAAGCTTTTAGGTTTATAAGGTTTTGCTTTAGATAAATGGTCAGATTTCAACCAACAGGAAAAGTTGACCACAACATAAAAGTATAAAGTATTGGTACGTAGGTTATAATTCTAAGATGCTGACTGATGAGATTTAATAATGATTGTACGTGTTCCAGCCTACTGTTAAATTTGCTATGCATAATAACATTTTTCTCAATCGTATTGCGGTTTATTTATCAATAATTAATAAAGATATAATTGTATTGAAATAAATCATTTCTATTAATAAATTCCTTAATTTTGCCTTAACTTTGATCCAAATAATTTTACGCGTTCCAGCTTACCGTTAAATTTGCTATGCGTAATAAGATTTTTGTCAATCATTTTGTATTTCATTTAACAATTAATAATAAAATCTATGCTTGTGTAGATAAATTATTTATATCAATAAGTTCCGAAAAAAGAATTAAATTAATAAATTGCAAGTTTCGTCATGCCTTTCGATTACTTTGTTTGAAAATGTACAGCCATATGTTCATAACGGCGTATGAGAAAATTAACTGTCCTATTTTTAAATCTGAATTTATTTTAAGAATATAATAAGTATAAGTTTAATTTAATTTTCAGTAACACAGTAAACACACAAATAAAATCTGACTAGTTTTAAGAATGTGAGTTAAATCATAATTTATTTTAAGAATGCGATGAGTATAAGCTTAATTTAATTTTCAATAAAACAGTAAACATTGACAAGCAACGCTATTGTATAATTTGTACTCAAATACTTATAAATTCAAATTTAATTAATTCATTGATAATGATTATTTATTTTTCTTTATTTATTGCTTTAGATTTTATCTTCATAGTTTTAGTTTACCTCTTGTTCCTTAATTGCTGTACTTTTACTTTTGCATATATTTTTTTGGAACTTAAAAATTTTTACTTAAAATATTAATAACTTACTTAAAAAAAAACATTTTATTTTAAACAAATTAACGATTTAAGCATGTATATCAAAGATTTAGTAGTCATTTGGTTTACTTCTGCTTATTTTTAAATGCTGATTAAATTAGGTTTGCAATTTTCAATGTATTTCAATAACTACCAATGGAAAAATATTTCACAAAAAGTGCAAATGTTTGTAGTTTGTTGCTTAAAAATATAGATATTTAACTTCAAAAATACTTAATTAATATAAATAAATAAAAATACTTAATTTTAACTCAAAAATACTTAAGTTTATGACTATTTTTTAAACGGGGAATATTTATCTTTTTTATGAGCGTTTGTTAAATCATATTTTTACACGTTTATTAATTATTGCATAACTCATTATGCTTTATGATTGGATGTTTTTTCTTCATTTGATTTTAGGTTTGGAAATATCTAGAAGGTACAGTCACTCATGTTGGATATGGTCATAGTGATGAAATTACTGCTCTGAAAATTTCACCGAATAAAAAACATATTATAAGTGTTGCAAAAGATGGCAGTATTATTCGCTGGAAATTTCCCGCACAACTTCAATAATATACCCACTCGTTACTGTGAAATAAGTGAAATTCTAGTTTTGATACTTGTGAAAAAGGTTTTCCATCTATTTCAATCAAGGTATTCAGAAAATATTCATAAATTTTTTTTAGATGCGAAGTTTTGATAACTTTTAAACAGCCATTTTAAATCTTTTGTACACATGAAGTGTTTTAATTAAGTACGCATCATCAAAGTATGTTTTAGAGTATATATCAGTATTTTATTAGATACCTCTGTATAAATAAATAAATTCATATTCATTCTTAATAGTGTTTGTTTTTATTGTATCGATTTTTATTGTTTTAAGTAAATTACAAAAAATGCTTTTGATTCTTATGTGTTTATTTATTATATCTCGGTTCTATATTTTTTCAGTTTTCTCAAATTATCAAGACTAACTTGGAAACAAGTTTATTTTACCTCAATTTCTATTCAGATTTCTCAATCTAATTTGAAATTGAAACTTATTTTAATGTCTTCAATATTTTTGTGGATAACCTTACCTCAGAGACCGTCTTGCCTCTCGACGAAATTATCAAATTCATATACATATATTTCTCAGTCGTGAAAAGGATAGAAATTTAATATGGATGGCTCACTGTGAAGTGCAAACAATAACATTTTAAAACCTGAACGGTATCTTGAAAACTTCCGGTGAATCCCTCCGCTTACAC